TAATTAAAAATAACGAGTATTCGTAAAAAAAAGTTGAGATGACTTACTTTGGCAGTAGGGTATATTATAATTTTATAGTCAACTGTTATAATTGCATAGAACCGTGGTGAGCCATATCGTATGTGTTACAATGTAACATATACATAGGTCTTCAGTTTTTTTTCATAATCTTCTAGAGCCTTATAACGCAATAAATTATAATTATGTTTAAAAATAGATATGTATTATAAGTACAAAGTATACTCAGTACGCGCGTTATATAATCCATTGTCATTGACCTATAACAATATTCAATTTAATAAACAACATTACCTAAATCTGCATTTGGCCGTTTGTTACATAACGAATAACGCAAACAAGCGGGTGCGCAATAGTTATGTACATATACGTATTTTTATAATTGTAATCATACCACTTGTACATGTAGCGTGAATTATAGATTTAAACTATGCCTGTAATCCGAGGCAATGTTAAATTAAAGTCAAATAAAAAAAATGTCATCGAGTGTATCATGTTAAAAACGAAATTACAAGCGATGAGCGCTATTTGGAATGTATTGTGGGCAATTTGTAGTATTCCGCGTAGTCGATTGAACACCAGACACCAAATTACTTTTATAGCTACCTACATAATGTTAAAATTGTAAGTTGTAACAATCAAAAGAAAAAAATGGAAATAAGTTTAAACTTTTTAACTTCGATGTACAGCCTTTTAATATATAGATTTAAAGTCATACATTGAAGGCACTTCGATGGGCGAAAAGTGAAAAATTTTACCCCTCGTGAATCTAGGTAAACGCTGTTGAAATAATAAATTCATAATTATTACCAGCAGAATGTCTTCAAAATAATTACTTTTTGGAGGAAAAGTATTAAATTTTATATTTAACATACAAAATAGGTAAATCGCTTCAATGCTCGGTAAATACATTTATTTATCTACTAAAAATAATTGTATTAAAAACATTTAAACTAAATTCTCCGTACTTAGATTTGTTATCAAGATTAATTATAAAAATGTTAATACATAGTACATTGTTACCCAAATCAGATTGGATGCTCTTGATCCCTGCTAGCTGATTCTACTCAATGATATTTTTGAACTATAACTTTACACATTGCATTGTAGTATTGTGCAAAAGCATGACCCGTTTAATATTATCGCAATTCGCAATTTAAACAATAAGCATTTGCTTAATCAATAATATTACTGATACAAAAATATATTATAATACGTTTAACGTTAAAACAAATTTGTTTGATATTTTAATGAATGGTATATTATTATTTGGCAATATTGTTTTTATATTAGGTTTTATTGGCAATGTTTGGTCGTGATACGTTATTTTATTTTATGTTTTGAAAGTAGTTTTTCGAATTTGGGTCTGTAAGTTAGGTATACTGATGATAATTCTTATGTTTAACTTATTATGGTGACCGTGTTTTTCAACTTTTTTTTAAAATAGTTCCGCCTAGTAGTAAAAAAAAATTATAAAACATGAATGTAAAACTTTAAATCAATTACAATGTTTTGTTGGGATAAAATATGAAGAAATAAAAATATTAGCAATGTCTGTCAACCGTAGTTTTTGACATATTATAATAAGTAATAAAATCGCGAATATTATCTTTAAACGCCTTAAAATTAATAATATTAGTTATAATCTAATTTTTTAAGAATTATTGTGGTCATCGACAAGTTCATTATAGAAGGACAATTACCACGACGATGTCCAAGTACAAGCGATAGATAGCAAGAGATACGTTTTAACCACCCCACCATATATGACAATATATCTCATTAAAAGTATATGTTTCCACCCACGGTTTGTGAACGCACGTCAGCTATATTATAGGTACTCTATAATAGCTACATATCATGAACGTGAACAGTGAGCTCTACATATTATCTAAAACAATAAAATATTATGTTCACGTGTATACGTATGAAAATGATGTTATGAGAACGGTGTGGTCTATAGTCTTAACGACCGAATAGCAAGTTATATAATAATTCGGGGTCATCCCACTACGTCAATGCAGCAATAGTCGGCTGAAACGTAAGCATTACGACAATAGGCGTTTTACGAAATCCAAAACGAATGGAGTACATTCATTAGGTGCCTACGTCTGAAATTCTGCCAGAATTATGTTATGATGTATCTAAAGAAGCTTTGTTACATGTACCTCGAGTAAAATGGACTCATCTCCGCTTTATCAGGCTACCGTCAGCCCAAACTCTACTCTACTGGTATGACTAGATTTTAACTATGATTATGACTAGAGGTTTTTTGGGGGTTAAGGGGAATAGGTGTCCCCAAAATTGTCTCTAACCCACTAAAAATGGTATTTGGTCTTCCCATAGTTTTCCAGTTCAACTTATACCGTGTATAAAATATGGTCCAAATAAAATTACAAACAAAATTGTGTTAAGTAATAATCAGAGCCTGATTAAAAGAAGTTAGGACCAAGAGCACCACTTCATTCGGAACTCTCTAAGAAGATTATAAACTTGAATAGGGGAAGCAATTTTTTTTGTAATCAAATAGGGATAGGATTCTAATTTCGGAATTACAAAATAACAACAGATGTTTTTTTTTTCAATATTTAAAAAATAAAGTATTAATAAACAAACGTTTCAATAGAAATATTGTACTAAAATAATAGTAGTTTTAATAAAAATGATAGCTTAAGATAATACTGAAAGAAAAAAAATATGATAACATTCTACAAATTTAAATTATTTGAACGTTTTTAAAAACGAAATTTTAAATAACTATTTCCGAACCCAAACTATACCTATTGTTCTTACAATTTCTGACTTTTAAGAATACTTACGGAAGTTATCTCCATGAATTATACCTAATACGAAAATCTAATATTTGAGATTTCTAATTTTTGTATACTCAATAAACTAGAGTCTAGAATGCAATAATATTGCCTACATTCATTGAGGTTAACTTAAAATTATAGCTTATCTCAGTCACATCTCACAAAAAAAATTTGAAGAAAATAAAATTATTAAACCAACTACAAAAATGTATACCAAAATGTGTGCTTAGATTAAAAAATAATAGCAACCATTGTTTTTCTCTGAATTTTGAATTATAAGTTTTAAAACTATTTCTTTTTCATATAGCTCCTGAAATTAGCCTTTTTTTTTTTGCAAGAAGTCCAACTTAACCCGCATGAAAGTAGATCAATGTGCATTTTGCACTTGGAACATTAATATACAAATGTTTAAATGTGCGTAGTTGTAGACGGTAGCAACTGTTTTTTTATTACTGAGGAAAAATCAAATTCATAAAATCAACTATTGAACATATAAAATAAACAAGATTTATAATGATTTCTTTGGATCATTAAGATATATACATCTAATAATGTATTCTTTAATGTGATTTTATTGCGTTTAAACGTAACACCTATAAACAAGTGACCGCCCATTGTACCTACCTAACCCAACTACACCACCCACTACACCTACTCCAGCCCTACTGTTCTGGCTGTCGAGGCTATTTTTCACAATTAGTTGTTTTTAAGACTGAAACCAATACACGTTAGCGTAGGTAACACGTTAGCGGTTAGTGTATAAGTTTATTATTAGTACAGTGAATAAGATTCTTTATTGTTAGGTTTTAGATTATTTTTTGACTACCACTTTCGAGGCCAAAAATTAAAACTGTTTATAGACCAACCATTTTTGTGTTATTCTAGTTATAGTAGTCGTATGAATATATAATAAATAAGAATAATTTAATTACTATTTGAATGATGTCAATTTAAAAAAGTTTTGTTAGCTACCGATTACAAAAAAAATAATAAAAACATGTTCACGTTTTACGTCTTTCAGCTCATTAATTGAGGCTTAAGCGGTACAGATTTAGCAGTTTTTGGGGGCTTTTACAGCTCGATGACGACCTAAAGCTTATCCCAAGAGACAGGTGGTAATTTCTCCCCCAACTCCCAAAAAAGTCACACTCCCGGAGGAACAAAACATAGTAAACTTATCAGCTTGCAACTGTAAAATGATTTATATAAGAAGAGCGCCGTTGTGAATACCGCCTACATAAGAGCTACCGGCTAAGGTTAGGCTTTTGAGTGGTAAGGATAATAGTTGAATATTGCAGAAATATATTATATATTAATATTATTATATCATCAATTTATTTTATGGAGAATAAAGTATTATAGACTGAGCCCTATTATTATATTGCTTTACATTTTACACAAATTCACACTATTCGTCTAATTTTTTTTCATAATCATTTTCCAATAACAAAGCTAATAAGGGTACCACCACTAGAACTTGAATAACACGTTAAAAAAAGTTTCATCAAGAATTTTACCTCCATTCAATAGAAATCGATGAACATAGTTTCATTGCCCAACGTCGAATAAAGAACCTCCTCCTTTTTTAAGTCAGTTAAAAACGCAGTCATTCGATAAACTCATAAAGATTACATTGGCAAATATTAAATATTGTTTCTTACGCACGCTATTCATTTTTATAGGTATCCCATATCTACATTTATAATCTGCGTTGTAAATTTTGAACATACAAATTATTAAATTAAATTGTTTTCCAACTTAGATAATCAAACTACTTTGACTAATAGAAAACACGTCTAAAGAGGGGGGAAAAAAGTGTACAATATGTTTTAAACTAACTGAAAGCTTTATTGACTTGCCATAAAAATAGATAAAAACAAAATGGTAATAAGTATAAATATAAAAAGTTAAAATGTTAGTAAAATCATTTTCAAAACATAGAGTTACCATTTTATAGGTATTTAACATCTACTATAATAATTTATTATAATAGCATATATAAAAGTGTTTAATAAAATATAATAAAGCCGCGTAATAACTTAAAAATTAAATATCATAAAATCAAAGAACTGCATAACTATAAATAGTTTGTTAAAAGTTATAAAATTAACTATTCATAATAAAATATGTATTACATTTATCTAAATAATATATTTAAAAATATTGGACGGAAATAATATTGCACTATTAATTACACTTCAATTAAATATAATTAAGTAAAAATTAATGTCTTTGTCATCAATCACAAATTTAATATTGTTAGAAATTTATAAATTAAAGAATTTTTAAACATCTATTATAAAAGTATTAAAAATGACTACTATTTATGTTCGAATTATACTCTTTTTGACAACTGTAAAACATAACTAACTTTCTTTATAGCTAATATAATTACTGGTAGAACTACAAAAAATAATAATAATAACATTTAAAAACAAACTTTATAACAAAATGTAGAACCAAACAAAAATAAATCAATATGTAAAAATGAATAATAAAAAGATGCACATAACAAATGTTTGCCTTTTAAGATTTCAAACTATACTTTTATGTACTGGAACTGACTTTGTACGCAACAACTGTGGCATGATCTAACTTGCCTGGCACCCCAAACAATGGCATTTTCCTAATGACCTCCTTTCTCTTTTGTCTTACCTCTCCTTGTGCCAACGGTTTTCCATTTACGTCTGCATATATGTCTATGTCTTCTAGTATCCGTCGTTTAGCCGCAGTGAGTCTGGTGACAAAATCTAACAATAGAGTTACCAAGTCTTTGGGCGTGTCAACTGCAGGTCCTTTACCTGACACGCCGTTTCTTATTAAATCCTCAGTTCTCAAAAGTGATAATTTGTGTCTTTGATACGCTTCTACACTGGGAAGTCCTAGTAACAAAACAAATAGGACAGTGTCAAGTGTCATGTAAAAGTCATGTAGGACGGGTTGGAGAAATGAAGTATTGACTTTATTGATATTCCACTATGAATCAATAAGAAATATTAGTACGTTTTTACTACCTGTAAAATGTCCTACGACAGGATCCAAGTTATCAGAGACGCCGTCGGAAGTAATGAAAACAATATCTCCTAAATCCACTTGCGTAATTGATAAAGTCAAATTCGATAACTCTGGATTTTGTCCGTCAACAGGACCTAAGGCGCCCATGACGTCTCTCATGTCCCTCATTCTGTGAATGTCGTGAGAACCCTGAGTGAGTTCTCGCACTCCATACTTTGGGCTGTACACATAACCTAAGCTGTCTCCAACGTTACAGCAACAAGCGACAAATTGGTTATCGACAACCGATGGAAGTACTACAACCGCCGTTAAAGTTGTTAAAGTTCCTTCTTCTTGAAGAATCATATTGTGAGCTGCATGGAATGATCGTAGTAAAGTCAAAAGAACATCCTGAAAAACAAAATTAAAAATATATAACATCTAAGTAATTACAACCAATACACTGCTAAAAGAAATAATTATAAAAATCTGTAATTCTAATTATTGTGAATTGTGATTAGTACTAGAATTGTACTACTTAGTCAAACACATATTTAACATGTTTTGTATCATATAAAGGATAAGAAACTTACTGTAGTGTTTTTTGGTGATTCTTTAACAGTAGGAAACAATTTTTTATTTAAATAATCCACACATCCGTGTACAGCGGATCTAGCCGCTGTTCTGGACTTAACACCCCAGTTGACCCCGTCGGCCAATACCATAATTGCAGAATTTGCTCGGGTTACAATGGCAAAACAGTCAGCTATTGGATCACCAGTATGTCGATGTGTAATAGGATGTACTTCGTACAACGAACAACTAGCGCCATAAGCATTTGTATGCTGGCTATTCCAGTTCTCAACACCAGCAACCAGATGATTTCCTGATTGGTCAAAACAATGTATATAATTTAAAACAACTAAATAAAGTAAATAAAACTTACTGAGTTTTTTTAAAATATTTGGTTTAGATTCTGAATTAGACGTTTCCTCAGCGGTATTGGCCATATCAATAGTAGACGTAGAAACCATTTTTCTTCCATTATCTAAATAATGTTTAAACAAGAAAAGCCAAAACTATAAATTTTAATTCTAAGGAAATATTTTTTTATGATATAAACTTACTCTACCCGTGTCGGGTATTTTGTTCTTTTTTACTATTATTATATTTTGCAATCAAAATAATATTCAATGGTAAAATTCCAGTAGCTACAACTTTTAAACTAATGGAGATAGCAAATTTCCGATGAATTGACGTAAAAAAAATACTATAATGTGTATTATAGACAGAAGAGTGTCCAGTACCGTAACACTAGGTTTGAAATTGTATACCACTCATTATAAACTCTCTTAAGATGACGTTTTACCCCCTATTTATTAAGGAGTTAGGTATAGGTAATTTTTTATAAAATCGTAGTTTAAAGGCTAAATTGTGATGTTTAATTATTATTACTTAAGTAATCTTGACTCTTTTTTGGTAGTTTATTTATTTTTCGAAATGTCATAGTATACTTGACAGCGATTTGAAAAAAAAATTTCATCTAATCTGGCTACGCATATTCTCTCTTATCAACTAAATAACAATCGTAGACAATTTTTTTTTACGTATTTAAAATAATAAGAACTTTATCTAGGTTCTCTTGTCGGTTTTTTTTGATATGATTTACCCAACATACACAATTTATATTTTAATTCTGACATTTTTTAAACTTTTTAAAGTGCTTGTATTTAAGGTAAAATTAAAGTTTTCCATAAAAACCGACGAGAGAACCTAGTTAATGTTTTCCTCTTTTAAACGATACCAACATTTTTATTCTATGACCAATTCGCTTTGACTTACACGCTTTACAGTAAACCCCCTTTTTATGATTATTTTTAAAGGGTATAACGTCCTCTTAAAAAAATACCCAGACAAAATGTATTTCAAATAATCTCCAAAAGGCAACTCAAATTTCTCCGTAGTATTTTTACAAAATATTTTCCATTATAGAATTGCGGTTTTTTAAAATATGTCTAACTTTGAACACATATTGGAATAACTAGTTTAAGATTAAGACTTTGGTTATAAACCTAAATACTAGAAATTATCTTTATTTTATTTCTATATAATTAGATGTTACGTTAATAGTTTATCGGTAGGAATTTTAGTCTAGATATTTTTTTAACACACCTCATATTTGTTTTGACGCTATGTGAGTGTTTCTAATCTAACTGAACAGTACATAAATCAACTTAGGCTACATCATAACGAAACATATTAATTTAGTTGATGCAATTAAATGCTATAAAGAGTTGTGTAAATTTTTCAGCAAATTATAAACACTTTTATCATACCACATTCCTCGTCGATATTATCAATGAAATTTATTTCTGAATCACTCGCCGATATTTGTTTTTCTGTTTGATTGACCGACATGAGTCCCCCGTGAGGCCCAGTCAAAGACGAAATCACATCATAACTTGAAATCTGTCCCAATGGCTGTGGCGGTACTTCTTGAGGAGTCCTCCCGTGCAATATAACAGGAGCGTTTTTATTTATTTCGTTTCTAATAAAACAATCAATGTAAATCTTCAATATTGTAATTACTTATGTATTTTGTATAAAGTATTGTATAATTACCCGTTGAGGTATTTCTTAATGAAACGATTAGATGCATTGTCGTCGTTTCTCGATTCTGAAGGTGTAGAAAACTGACGGAAAAATCCAGAAAATTTTTGCTTAAATGAAGGCATTGCTCTAGATATTTTATTTTATAAATTCGACACCATTTTTGTTTTTTAATAACTTTCCATATCAGACGTGGGGAGTGTAAATTACAACTCCGTTGAATTAAATAGCAATATTTTTTTAGAGAAAACTTAAAAGAAATTATTTTATTGTTCAGTTTCTGTACGTAGTGAATTCAACGTCGAAATGTTGACAATTATTTTAGTTAGGTATTCCAACTTCCAAGTACTTAAACGTAATGACTATTGAATAGTGATAATGAATAATTTCACTTTATCAAAAATCCATTGACAATAATTATTATTAGTGACAGTGCTGCTGTAGCGCTTTCTAACGGTGTCTTTTACTACTGTTTAACTTCAAAACAAGTCTGGAGACCTGTTCTTGAATTTTTATTATAGGTATTATACATTTTTGTCACATAACACATACCTTAGTCATAACACAATACTCGAGAAGATTTCCTCACCGTTGATTAATTGTAGAGTGGTACTCTAATGGTTAATTAAGGCGATAAAACGCCCGTTTAGCTACATAATGATGAACATTTATATACTAAATTTGTTTGTGTCAATGCATTCATTTACTTATTACTTGATTTGTTTTTAATTTTAAATGAATAAAAAACGTAAATGCATTCAATTTTCCACTAAATAATCCAAACATTATTTATTGACAACGTTTTATATATATATATTATAAAAAATCTTAACAAGTATCTTTCAGTGGTTTCAACACAAAAAAATGATACTTTTCAGTGGTAGTGAATACGAGTATTGAGATTTAGGGTAGCAGTGTGCTATCGTCAGCAATACTAACAGCAGTCTGAAGACTTAAAGTTTTCAATTCATAATTCAATATTGGTATTTTTAAATGTTATATCTTATAACAATAAATTATTACCAATTAAATCAATCAACATATATATTTTCTACTATATCTTTTCTAATTACTAAAGGCGTTTTTTTTTTTTATCAGCCTATTAATACAAAATATTTTTGGCTCTAAAGCTAAGTTAATGTTTGTAATTATGTTCATTCTAAATAATAAAGAAAAGAAGTGATGAGCAGAGAAGCTCAGTCGCTTTTCGCCCAACATAGCAAGTGAGACGTTGGCTTGTAGTATAAATAAAATGAATAGCCAATATTGTCCTATTTTTATTATTTAACTGGTTAATAAATAATATTTATTATTTAAGTATCGGGAATAAATTTCTGGACATAAAACAATTTATTTTAAATAGTTTATTAATAGCTTCTACAAAAATCTTAAAATACTACTGATCCAATAGGCTCTGCTCTGATCGCACTTAAATCTATTGTGGAGTCCATGGTTTCGTCAATTTCTCCAATAATAGCTCTGAAATAAAATATTTAAAGCAAAAAAAATATAGTTGTATTCATAGTATAAATTTCAACCAAAATTTTCATTTTTCTCTTAGACTAAAACAATATTATTTAAACCAATACAATCTAAGGAACTTTTACCATGAAATAATATCTCTACAAAATTAAAGATAAAGACTAGTAACATTTTAATATGAAGCCCAGGTGGTTATACAATTTTACCTGCTAATTACATAACAAACTGCCCTACCAGTTAGGTTATCTAAAAAATGTACAAGCCCTCATTTGCTTATCATTAATAAGGCTGGCACCAACAAAAAGAATAAAGAAATGTTTAATTTTTACTGTACTCAATTTTACAATACTTGATATAGGACAATAAATATTTATGAAGTCAGAAACACTTTTAATGATTTTATAAAGTTGCTAAGGATGACTATTGATACTTGATAGTATACTAGAAATTTGTAAAATCAAGAATTTTGTCATTCAAAGTATATTTATTTAAGATCTAAGAATGATATTGGTGAATTTTTTTATATAAATATTTGTGGGAATAGAGGACTCTCAAACTGAGTGGTAGTGAGTAGAAACCAAAATGCATTAGTCTTGTATGCACCTGCGTTTTCCGTAACCCATTTTGGTTTTTGCACAGTATTGCTCTTATATAGGATAAGATATAGATTATTTTAATCTATTATATTACATTATGTGATGAGGGCAAAAAAAACTGTAATTAACAAGGTATGAATGAACATGACATTAACAATAATAATATTTATCCATTCTGGTATGTTGTAACAAATTTTTAATTAAGTTCAGATATTATTCACCCCATTTCAAAATGTATAATTTAAAAAGTATACCTATGTATATGGCTGCTTTATTGTATGCGTAGTCATAAATTATACATAAAGAAGAAATAAAAAGTGTCTCACACATTATCACCACGAATAAGATGAAGTCCTAAAACAACTTGTTCAACACCTTGATTTGGACTATACACTCGTTCATGGCTGTCATCTAAAATTATATTTATAGTTTGATCAAATCCTTTGAGCGTTCCCTATTACATAAAAAAAAATTAAAATTATTAAGTAAAACTTATAAGCAAACAAGGGAAATAATTACCACAAAATTTCTTCCATCTGACGTTATAATAGAAACCGTATCTATGTGGTATGTGGTCAGGCTTTAATTTAGACAAAATATTTTTTATTTATTATTTTAATTATTAAATACAAAACTTAAATAATTGAAATATTTAATGCAACAGAATCACAATTTTCATACCTAACTATGTCATTAAACGTTAAATAATTGTAATTTATATAATTTATAAACTAAAAGTAGTCATAGGCATGATAAGCTCTCCTCGTATACAAAATAAATTAATAAGTAATAACATGTTTGATAACACATCGCAAATAATTAAAATGTGTTACTCTTCATAAGTTTTTCTTTATCATGTTAGTAATATTATCATGGGAATAACAGGTTTTAGTTTTAGCAAAAAAAAACATTAAATTTAAACAATACAAAATCTTGGGTAAAATGTTAATTTTTTTTTATATTTATAAATGTATATAAAGAATAGATATACATATTATAATAAGATAATATTGAAAACAGTATTTGTTTAAAAGGATACGGTTTACATAACTTTCAAGTCCTGAACTCATTGTAAGTTCTTATCAAAAACCACGAGTAACTAAAATTCTGAAATAGAAATATAGAATAGTTTAAAATATTGTATTTTATATGAATAGAATTCTTATTTCCAGCTACGTTTAAATCGGTATGTACTGTAATGAAATGTACTTACTACAGACAACTCTCCTGGTTGTATTTTAAAATAAAATGTCGTACGATTATTGAAATAATAACTATAGGTAAAAATACAAGTTTAAAGACGATAATCTAAAATAATCAAAATAAAAGTATCGATTAGCGGCTTACAAATAATTATTTGTTTATTCCTCGCGTAACGCTGAACGCGCTGATAAGACAACAACATTATCAAATATTAATATTTACCTCCAGACAGAGATAACACGCATCTCATAATGATAACAAGCTATTTGGACACAGAATATATTAATTATTGATTTAATCTATTCTGTGGTATAGATATGAATAACACATAATATAGGTGTGTCCGCATTTTGTATTGACAATTTTTACAACATGGCTGTTGGCGTGTCCCCTAAAAAATTCACAACCACCCAATAACACCGGCATGGCGGCATCAATTTTGCAGCTTTTACATGTCGCTGATATACCTATCCCTATGTACTTTTGTTATGAGGTGGCTATAGATTCCTAATACGGTTATAGATAATATATGATAATAATTGTAATAGATAATCTATATATTATCTTATTACGAATGATTCAATTATTCAAAAACAAAAAATATAAACTGCAAATCATAAATTACTAGCAAATACTATAAATGACCATTTAACACAAGTGCTAAACAATACCTATGATTGTTAAACATTAAAATAGTCAGTCATCACTAACAATATTCAAGTATTCAAACTTGACTATTAGTATATTGTGGAGTATGGACATATGTAATAACATTTAAATACCAGTTACAATTTTCTTAACAGTTACCCATTTTAAAAGTAACTGTAGTTAATCATCAAGGATTATATTCTTAAATATTTTATTTTACATATAATACTATGTACTTCTAATTAGCCATTGTCCGTTGGTTATCAACTCGGTTTCTCAGTTATAGTTTTGTCAAGCTACCCATCCACTTATGTTACATATATTGTTCATATCAAAAAATGAAACAAATTGTACCTAATCTAATTGTTTTTGATTTAGGTAAGATCTAATTTATCTTTAATTAATTTTTATCAATAAATTATATTTATTTGACGGTTTCCAGAGAGAGAAAAATCTTAGTAAATGCTTGTTATTTACCCAATAATCTTATTGTGATCATGTACTCCTAAAAAAAGCTTGGATTGGGCCTTTTGATAAATAAATTTGGTTTCTTGCCAACAGTTTTCACTTAGAAAACAATAGTCTCCCTCCAAATAATAGATCTTTGACATAAAACAAATCCTACATAAAAAATAAAATAAATCTTGTGTATTACCATGTATATTATTCTGAAGTGTATTATTTCTATGTATTATTATTTTAGATAATACTCTATGGCCGTTTCATACAGATCAATGTCAAAGGCCTTTTCAGCTCCATTCTCCGTAAGTTCCTATCACAAACTAAGATAAATCTCTATCTTTGTTTGTAGTACTAATGTAACTAATGTATACTTATTATATCTTATGACACTACTTGTTTCTAATCACATCATTGTAACTGTTGAATATTGAATACATAGGTAGTAAAATAAACGGTTTTGAGAATTTAGAATTTACGCATTACAGTAGGTACTGGCCACAATCATTTTTTATTGAAAAATATATTTTGAAGTTTTATAAGGTTAAGTCTCCTCTAGCGCTTTAGCAGAATAAGTTCTTTCTGGAATGAACTCCAACCCAAAAGTTACCAGTGGACTCAATATTAATAATGTCTGATATTAACTTATACTCATTAGATTCCTCTAGAATTACGGTATCGAGAACTAATATACCAAAAAATGTTAAATGAGTTTAAAATTGTTTAGAGGTATAGTGATGGATTTTGATGGCAACAAGTATGAACTATTTCCCGAAGTTATTGAATTATTAAGAAAATTAAAAAATAAAAATTACATCTTAGCTGTTGCATCGAGAATTGAAGATATTCCCACAGCCTACCAATTGCTAATTTATTTCAATATTTTACATTTCTTCACGTACATAGAAGTGTATCCATGCAAAAAAACGATCCATTTTCAATGGTGTGTGTATTTATTTATATATATATATAAATATTTATTTATTTATTATACATATATAATATACTTTTTAATTTTTTATTGTAGGTTACATTTAAAAAGCCTTTTACCATACGATCAAATGATATTTTATGATGACAATATACGCAACATTCAAAGTGTGGCAAAATTAGGAGTTCGTACTTATCATGTAAAGAACAACAAAGGAATATCATTAAGACATTTACAAAATATGGGTATTAAATTATAATATAAGTGTATAATAATTATTTTTTAAATTAATTTTTTTTAATTAAAATATTATATACAAAAATATAACAAAATTAATTTTAATCAAAATGTATGGTTTTCATGTATTCCATTATGCTGGAAGTCCAGAAGCTTTATGGCTTAAAACTCTCTGTTGGCATACAAATTTAATATTAAAATAAATTATTTTTAAAACTGTTATTTTAACACATTAATAAAACTTGCCTTTAAAATGGTAGCTGACTGGCAAACTGTCAAGCCCAAGTTACGGCCAAATTTTAAAAGAGCAGATGGTATGAACTGGTTATTACTACCATATGTTTTCTGTATCATATCTATTCCGAGCATAATCGGAATATTGCTGGCTTGAGCGTTACTTTCATAGTTCAATAGCGCATGTATGTCTCCTATTTATTAAACAGTCATTAATTTATAATATAAATGACAAGATTAATAAATGTTACAAACCAATATCAGCGCCTGTCAACAATGATTTTTTAAGTTGGCTGCTGAGTTCAATAACATCACTGAAACCTAAATTTACGCCCTGTCCAGCTAAAGGGTGTATTCTGTGTGCAGCATCACTATAAAAAAAGTTTCTAAATAATTATATTTTTATCATTTAATGTTACAATATCTATATATTAACGAACCCAACAATAGCGACGCGTTGACCAACATAACGGCAAGCGTGTCCAAATCCAAGAGGAAATGAAGCTCTGCTATTTTTTGTAACTCCTACAACTGTTGGGCTCACTAAACTTGTTTTATTTTGTTCATTATTTAAACCACTAGATAGTAAACACATATTAATCGCAGTAGATATATTTCCGTTAATATCATCGGCTAAGTTTGAACCAGTACTGTTTGATTCTTCGTCCTTATTATTAAAAAAATATATATAATTGAAATAAAATAAATAATACTTTTTACATTTTTTTTTTTGTTTTTAAATGTAAATACCGATAAAGCACTATTTAAAGTTTTGATAAATTCGTCTTCAGTACATTGTACTAAACGCTGTGCCTCTTCATTGCTCGTAGTCCACGCAATTGAACACGTTTGATTGTCTAGCTAGAGTACAATAATAATAATTAAAGCATACAAACATTTATTAATTATACGAGTCCAATTAACAGCTCACTTACTGGCAACAAAGCAATGGGACCAAGTGTAGCGAACTTTTGCCAAGCTACATTTCTGTCGTTAGAATCAGACTGTAAAAGATTATATGACAATAAATCAATTGTTTAACATAGTCAACACTACTATTGTTATTAATATTACTTTTAATGATTTTATTTAGAATATATTTAACTAAGAATAGACTTCGTAAAATGTTTTTATTTATTAATATAAAGGGTGTTCCATAGAGGATGCTGGATTTTAAAAATGTAATAACTCATTCAATTTTTTACGAAAAAGATCATATTTTATATTTTTACATTCAGTATGAATTCCGATTTAATAATTAAATACTATATCTGCAATATGTCCTCTGTTTTGTCTACACAAAATAATTCCGTCGGCGAAGTTCGCAATCGCTTTTAGACACATTTCTTCATCAATTTCATCAATTACACGCCGAAGCTTTTGGGTTTTCCAAACTAACCTAACCGACCAGCCATGGCTTACAAGATCAGGCCATCTCACATTCTTTCAATATTTTTTCTGGGGGTTAGTAAAATTTTTTCTTCACATTAACAAACCTTAATCTATTCAAGAACTTTGGCATGTAATTGATGAAGAAATGTGACTAAAAGCAATCACAAACTTCGCCGACAAAATTAATTCGTATAGACTAAACGGAGGAGGACATATTGCAGATGTAGTATTTCATTATTAAATTGGAACACACACTGAATGTAAAAATATAAAATATGATCTTTTGGTAAATAATTGAATAAGGTTACTTAAAAAATGTCCATATTATATTGTTACATTTGTGTTCTGTAGTTGCACATTAGCCACGACTGCACGTTGACCATATTCCCAACTCAAATACTGTTGGCCGTTAATTGATGACCGCACTTTTGAATGAAAACCGTCTGACCCAATCTATATAAAGGGTTTTTATTTAATTTTAACTTTACAAACAAGTTTTTTTTTTTTATTTTACCAGCAAACTAGTGTTATAAGTTTTTTCTCTGTTAGCTATTTTAACAACTGCTAAATCCGTATCTTGTTTTGGTAAATAACATTGATCGACTTTGGAATCATATTGAACCGTTATGTTTGGGTTGTTGAGTATTTTACTATGTAATGCTTCGAGAATAGCATCATTTTCAACCATATATGCTAAATTATCATCATTACCAAATGTTAATATGTTATTTTTATCACTTTTCTCTATACTTGAATTCCATATCTAAATAAACAATATACATTTAATTATTATGTAAATAGTTACATAGCATAAACAAAACACAAAGCACTTACCCTCATTTCTTTGACTTCACAATAACCATACAAATTTTCAATTATTTCCCAAGCACCAACTGACTGCAATAACTTTACACTCGATTTACTCAATGCCGACACTCTATTACTATACGTCCTACCAGTTTTTTTTTCACCTTTGCTTGGTTTTTGTATGGTTTTACCAGGACCCCCTTCCAATAGAAGTATGGACATATCATGAAAACCTGGGTCATTGACTACAAAACGGTAAATTGTCATTGAAATAAAATACGACTAACATCACAGTCCATTAGGTAATGATAATTACCGAGCTTGCACGCCATCGAACAGCCAACCATACCCCCGCCAGCAATAACAACATCATAAAAATCCTTATTCGATGAGCTACTATCGGAAGAAAAATGCAATCTGTTTGAAAGTAAAGTTGTGTAATTTGTTTTTAGATGTCGTTTTGATGAAATTAAAACAATTGTCTTGTATATTTTGTTGATCGATGTACTAGTAAACATTGTGAAAATCTTCTTGGGTAATCAAATCACTTGCAAACTTGTATAGCAATAAGTAAAAAACAAATTTTAATTATGAATTAATTGACAATTTAATAAATTAACGTAGTTTGTAGTTTAAAGTAAACTATCAAATTAAGACGGACTTCTTTGTTTAACAAAATATTATACCTATTACGTTTTAAAGAACATATAATGTTAAGACAATTGATAAAAACTAATTCTAAATTAATTATTGTCATCATAAGACATAAACTAATTTATGATTGACATTCTTTAAAAAATTTAACTTTTTTTTCACTTTTACCAGATCTCATTTCATTATGTGTTATCTATTTTTACTTTAGTGATAACGTGATTTAAATTTTCATAAAAACATGAATTTAATTTTAACTTAAATTTCAGAGATTTTTAAAAATTACTTCGTTTCAATAGATTTATTTATTTTTGAGGAACAAAAAAATAACTCCTTTACTTTAGTCTTAACTTTTACATCTACTCATTCCCGTTTTCCGAAAACGGAGATGTGACTGAAGTATGTTACATTTAAACTTTAATAATATATATAATAATTATTATAAAATATTAAATTATATCAATATGAATTATGATAAATAAAACATCATCTCTCTGTTATCTTAAATGTTAATTATCATAATAATTAATAATAATAAACGATACTTTTATAACGCTTGAAAAGTGAAATCTAAAATCTTTATGTTTACAATTTATAAATTATCTTCCTACTTCGTAATTTACTTATTTTTATTATAGTTTTTTTAAAGATATTTTACTTATTTCACATAATTAAATTACGTTCATAGAATATATTTCTCATAAGATGAACTTTACATGCACTTATGAATTTGGTATTAACTATAGATTTAATAACCTTTGATCACTTCTGTGCGTTTTTTCTGATTATTATAAATTAAAGCAAGTATCCTTTTATCCATTTAATTGGTTTCGCTTATAATTTGTATATACTATATCAATGTAATAAATACATTTTTTTTTTACAGGTCTAATATTTGTATATTATAATTTAAATTGAACGTTTGATGAGTTTAAAGAAATCTGATATCATGCCTTCATTAGACGCAAATGTTGTTAAAATAGCAGTGGAGATGGAGTCGGAAAATCCACAACTCAAGGAGTTCAATCAAAAAATTCCGCTTACTAATATAATTCAAGACCTGTGTAGTGGCTGGGACCTTGTAGAACCAGAACAATATGCACTAAAATTTTCAGAAAAAAATAATCAAAATTATGTTACGGAAAAAAATAGAAATGAAATAAAAAATGGTTCAGTGTTGAGATTAGCGTTTTCTCCTTCCAAAATTGCATATGATATATTACAAACACTTCATACAGAAGGCAATGAAGACAAAAATGAAAGAACTACCGCTTTACAAAAATTAGCAGAATGCAGTACCGATATAACATTTGCTCTTGAGTTTATTAACAAACAAGGACTGGCTCTTATTATTAGCCTAATTGAAAGAAGTATACAATTGTGATACCGTATTACATAAATATAATATATTATAATAATATTTCTAGAGTATATTCTTTTTCATTTTCCCAATAGGTAAATGTCAAGGCGCTATGTTAGCATATGCACTAGCATCTTTTGTTGAACTGATGGATCACGGCATTGTGTCTTGGGATATTTTGGAAAGTCCGTTTATTAATGTGGTGGCCAGCTATGTGAATAATCAAACGTCTAGGCCACAGGATGCCAAAGTCGTTCAATCTTCATTGTCCATATTAGAGAGTATCGTGTTGAATAGTTCGGCTAAATATGGCCAAGTAGAAAAAGAAGTTGGATTTCCCAATCTGGTGTTGCGGCTTGAAAACCAAAATTCAATCATTCAACAAAATGCTCTTTCATTGATTAATGCCTTATTTTTAAAAGCCGATCCTGCCAAACGAAAAGTCATCGCTAGTACATTGTGTACAAAACAAGTGCGTAACGTTATCTTACAAAACATCATACAGACATCATCCGGCGAAGTTGGGTCTGAAATGGCTTATCAATTGTATGTTATGCAAACTTTATGCTTTGGACTGCTTGAGGAAAGGATGAACACTAAAATGGATCCACAAGATCAAGATGCACATGAAAAAATTAAAGTAAATATTGTTCTTAAATCATAATTGTTTTATTTTAAAATATTTATTGGTGTTTTGTTTAATATTTAGGAACTGCGTAAAATTGCTTTTGAATTGGATACAATCGGAGGTGGAGATAGTAATCGAAGACAACTTGGGCCATTTACTAAAGACTATAAAAAGTTGGGATTTAAATACGATATAAATCCAGCATTAGATTTTACGGAAACTCCACCGGGCATGTTGGCTTTAGATTGTATGGTTTATTTTGCTCGAAATCATGTCGACGCATATACTAAAGTAAAATTGTTACAGTTAAATTAATTAATTAAAGCGTATATAAAACTGAATTGTAATAATTATTCTGTAAAAATAAAGGTTGTACTTGAAAATTCGTGTAGAGCAGATGAACACGAATGTCCATTCGGTCGGTCATCTGTAGAATTAGTTCGTTTATTGTGCAATATATTAAGAATTGGCGAGCCACCAAGTGAACAGACGACAACATATCATCAGATATTTTTTAGCCATGATCATCCATTTCATGAATTATATTGTGTTTGTATTGTGTTGTTAAATAAAACTTGGAAAGAAATGAGAGCGACAACTGAAGATTTTGTTAAAGTAAATTGATACTATTTTTAAAATGTATAAAACATTTTCATTTGCCACAAACTTTTTTTTCAGTTATAAAATAATGTATTTATTATTTACTTAGGTGTTAAGTGTTGTTCGAGAACAAATTACTAGAGCACTGGGCTCCCAACCGGCGAACTTGGAAAAACTAAAGCAAAAGTTGTCCACGCTTACTTATTCCGAAATCACTAATCTTTGGCAACAAGAACGAACATCCCGAGAACAATGGGAAAGTCATGCTCGTCCTATAGTACAACTTAAAGAATTAGTAACTCCTGAAATAGTACAGCTAATAAAAAAACAAAGACTAAATTACATGGTGGATGGAACTAGATTTACAAAATACTCTCAGCGAGGACAGGTCATTTTATAATTTATAAATAATTCTAATATTTTGTCGTAAATAACTATTAATTCACCTTTCAATTTTAGTTTAACAATGAACAAACACTTAAAAAAAAATTTATTTTTATTTATTTTCATTTTTGTTAGAAGTAAAACAATTAAAACTCGTAAAATTTTTTAGAGAGTAAAGGACAAGTTTTGGTTTGTTCGATTATCACAAAATCATAAAGTTTTGCATTATGGAGATTGTGACGATAAAAGTGTTCCGACGATTGAAGAACTTCCAAATAAATTAAGTGTTGTCGATATCAAAGTTCTGCTCACAGGAAAAGATTGCCCACACATGATGAAAGATGCCAAGTATGATTAAGTAATTTTAATTTTATGAAATATCTGATCAATATCTTATCTCAATGATAGAAGCCGTAAATCTACACATCAACTTGCATTTTCACTAACATTAGACTCTGTAGAAATGACATCTCTTGACTTTGTCGCTCCTGATGAAATGGTTTATGATTATTGGATCGATGGCATAAATGCATTGCTAGGTAATTATGTTTTACAATTTTTTTTTTATTTTACAAATCTATTTTTATTATTATATATATAGCTTAATTAACAATAAATTGTCGACTTAACTCCAAAAATGTTATTTGGGATATTCTTCATTCTTTATATGAAAAATGAACACATTGTAAATAATGTTATGTTTTAGGTAATAAGATGACTAGTAAAGAAGCTGAAAATGATCTCGAAACATTATTATCAATGGAAATAAAGTTGAGATTATTGGACGCAGAAGGAGTCGGTGTAGACATACCTCAAGATCCACCACCCGTGCCTGCTGATCCACCCAACTATGATTTTTGTTATGACATTAAGTAAAACTATAGTTTTTAATTTAAATTTATTTCAAGATAAATTATTATTTATTACAAGTATCTCATTTATATATTTATTTTCTCAACAACTAATTTTTTAATATCGCCAACTACCGCTACTGCTTCCAATTGAAGTAAACTGCCCTGTACAAAAGTTAGATTTGTATTTATTATATAAGTATTGTAAGACTAAAAAGATAAATTATACTATTAAAATTAATAATATCAACAATAACATTACTGTCCAACACTATAAAATTGTAATAGAGCTAAAATACAATCCTATTTAATAGAATTTTAAAGATATGTAATAATTAAAGCTAAACAATTACAAATTTTACGTTCTAAGATCAGCATAATAATACTTTATTATGAGCATGTATATTGGTTCTTATTAAAAAATAAAAAGTCAAAATATGAGGCATACTTACCAAGGCTGTTTCTTCACACTGTACGTACAACCTCGCAGGATATGGGCTGTTAAAATCTAAGTAAAATAAAATGTATTATTATTTCATTCCGGTTCTGTGTTATAACTTTATGTTAATTACATTTTTTGTAGTTCTCGTTAATGGCATTTTTATCACTTAAATGTTTCAAGCTCAGTCTTGTTTTGACTACTAAAAAATTTAATAATATGTATTGTAATTTTTTTAAATATATACATATATATATTTTGTATAAACTTTATTTATTAACCATTATTAAGACAAGAACCAGCCGTTTCTAAAATTGCTTTTAGGTATACCATAACTTGGTCTAATTGTTCCTCAATTCCACCCTGTATTAATTTTGGAATTGCTGATGTTTTATCGATCGGTAAAATACCAGTGACGTAAACCAAATTGTCTGGTCCCACAACAGCATGGCTGTAAATATTGTACACTAAATTATATTTAAACAACATTTTTAATTAGTTTGTTTTACCTGTAAGTGCTGTACGATCGCAAAATAGCTTTGGATGAGTTAACGACTTTCAAAATGTTTGTGTCATTCATTTTCTACTAGTTATATGTAATTACATTTATTCAACAAATGAATTATATTTATTATTTTCTTTGTACTATGTCAGATTTTATAGCAAATAAGTTTGGACTTAAAAAAAAAAATGAATATGTAACCTAGCATAATTATACAAGTAATGTTTAATTTTTTATTTAGCTTATCAATGAGCAGTTTGAATAAGGAGGTTATAATTTTTTATATACAATATAGAAATGTCAATAAAAAAAGATTTTTTATAAATATATTTGAGTATATTACATAATTAAATGATTAAATGTTTAATAATTATATAATATTTAATTTTCAAGTTTGATTTTATTCACTGGTTGAATTATTGCAATTGCTTCAACCGAAATTCTAGCATTCTAAAAAAAGATGAACAAATATGTTTTAATAATTCATATATTTTGTAATTGTATACCCACTTTTGGCAATCGCTCAACTTGCATTTGTAATCTTGCACAGTATGGAGCATAAAAATAATTGGAAAATATATCATTGACTGCTTTAGCTACTTTATAAGATGTCAAGTAAATTACCACCTTTATAGCTATAAAAAAAGAAAAAAAATACTTAGTATTTATAGTCATTTGTGTTATGTACAATTATACATTTCTAACTTTGTATGATAATTTTTTTTATATTAGTTGTTATTAGGAACACCGAACATTTCACAAAAGTTTAATGATACTTTAACATTAAAGATTTTTTAAAAAATACTTTTACTCAACAATACAAATTATACCTAATTTCTTTTACTATTCATAGCACTTATAGTTTATTCTGGAGCAAAGAATTAATTATGGTTTTTGTCACATTTCCAGTCTAACAGTCATCAGGTTTTTATTTTTTTTACTTTAATTAAAAAAATAATTGACTATATGATATATACCATTACATACTTGACTGACTCGATGCTCCAGATGCTTCTAGAATATATGATAAGTTTTTAAATGCTTGGTGAGCTTCATCGATAAACATTTCAGGAATAGTTCTATTTAGTCTATTGTTGCCATAAGTTGCTGACACATAAACCATATCATTAGCAATGACGGCATAGCTTTATGAAAGATTAAAATAATTATTACAGTATTATTTTTAAAAAAACATTCTTTTATTTTTATTTATTGTTCTAATAACCTAAAATTATCATTATATATAAGTACCTTTTAAGGTTTCCGCTTTGGTTTGGTTCAACTACAGTGATTTTATTGGTAGAAGGCATATTTAGTTCAACTAATAGCAAATTAATTGTAAAATAAGTTTTCAATTGCAATGGCATGTAGGACAATTACTCACTATGACGTAATGATTTTATGACCAAGCCATTTTTTTTAAACTTAATTTATTACTAATCTTAACATTAGTAGTATTACATAATTAATGTGTTCTTATATGTACATTATTTACCATAATATAACCTATGTTAGGTTATTAACTGTAGACTCTTTTATCAGACATATGATTCCAATATTATGTTATAGGATGCGTTATGCATTTAAAAGTATATTACGCCTTAAGGGCCAGAACAACTAATCTATTTCCATTTTGAACATACTGTACCCACGTATTTGAGTAAACCACTACACCACATGATTTGCCATTTAACTAACTTTCTTACATTGTGAAAAAATTGGATATATTATACAAATAATATTTCATAATATTATGTAATAATAGTTACTTTGTAAAAACACATATTTTAATCTGACACGACTGACCTGTTAATTAATGTCAAGTACACAAACTACATGGGAAACCTCTTTTTTTTTTATTATTAATTTAAATTTGATTTATACATGTAACAGATTGCATAAATAAATAATTAAATTAAAAAAAAAAAATGTTTTATTTGGTAGCTCACTTGACAGAATTTGTTTGGGACACCCCATTAAGGTTTCTGTCATGCTATGAAAAAGTCACCTGCCCAACTAGGGAAACCACCCATAGCCGATTGTTGAACTTAATTGAACTTGTAACAGTGGACGCTACACAATGCAATCTTATCCACTCAATCAATCATCCTTGTCAAAATGTTTAATTATACATAATTGATAAAAAATTAAAAATTACAATAATAATGGAACGTGTGATAAATACACAAAACTATGATTTTATAAGAAACATTTTTATTATTTATTTTTGGACATCTAATTTTATATTTAATTAAAAATATTTTTATATCACTTAGACAAAAGGAATGACTTAGACGAATTCTATTTACAAAATATTGTAAATAATAATAAAAAATGTACAAAGTACTTTTAACTATTATTTCTAAAATAGTTTCTTTTAAATAGTTAAATTTTCAAGACACCTTTAGGTAAAGCAACATCGAAAACTATTGGATGGTGTACTGGTAAATATTGAAGATCACAGCTTGATGCATTTATGTAGATTATTTTCCCATCAGTAGAAATTCCATAACCTGTAATTGAAATATTCATACGTTTTTCAAAAAATATACAATATATTTATTAAAACAAAAATTAAGTTTTATTATAGTATACCTTCATGTACGTGTCCAAAAACATGATATTTAGGCTTAATTCGTTGTTGAACGGAAAATAAAAGTTCAACACAACCGGCTCTAACACCAGAACAACAATCGTCACCATGTCCTAATGGTGGTGAGTGTGTAACTAGAATATCAACTCCTGCTGGTATTTTATTCCATTTATCTAAACAAGATTGTCCACGAGGAATATTGAACGCCCATCCTCCATACTCTGGCTGCCTAAAATTAAAACAACAATATATTTTACTAAAAAACCGAACGAGTCTGCCAATTTCTAACTTCAGTTTAGTAAACTGCATAAAAAAAACACTACTAGAAGACAAAAAAAAACGGTCTCCGGTAGAGTAAATTAATTCCGGATTAGTGCCATTGTTGCTATTAAACTTACCAAGGAGAACCATAAATTTTCAGACCATAACACTCAGTCATAGAGTCTTCCAAGTAAATACAATTAGTTAAATATTTTTTTATATCCTTATGTTGAATCGCACTTCGAATTTGATCTTGTTCAAACCCTAATGTTGGAATATCATTTAAGTTTGATTGTTGGGTGAACGTCGAATCAAAACTGAGCTCATGATTTCCAGCAATCACAATTTTGAGTTTATGCGGTAATGTGCCTAGCCATTTGTTAAACTCTATTACTTCATCCAGGCCTCCACAACTAGTAAAATCTCCAGCGTGAATGAATATATCGCCAAACGGTATATCAAATTTCAGTAAAGATGTTTTAGAATGAGTATCACTCATACAAACTACTCTGACCTGACAAAAACAATGCATTTTTAAAATTTAAACTGTTGTTTAATAATATTATATACTAGGTAATTTTATTTTTAATACTCTATAAGTACATACTTTGTTATTACCTACAGGCCCTTTAGGCACTGGAGGTTGTATTTTCATACATTTTTGTGTTTTTTTCAAACTTTCCCATGCCTTTGTTGGGTTTTCAGTTAGCGGATGAACGTTTATGCAAAAATCCGAATTCATTGTTTCCTCGGTAATATCATGGTATTAACAATCTTAGAAAATATATAACAGATATTTAATTGTTTTATTTTTACACCTATACTATGTAAATAATAAAGATAATATTGATATGCAGCTTATTAACATTTTGACCGTTAAAACAAATAGTAATATGTAAATAGTATTTGTATATTGCAATAATTAATAAAATAGTCAGTCTTTATACTATTCAAGTAATCGTACGGTCGCGGGTCTAGTATAATAATATACTCGTGACTCGTCTCATGACTTATCACTTCTATACCACAGAATATTAAAGATTAAACTGAATTAATTTTTTTACATACGTTTATTTTTCGGACATAAGATAAGAAATTATCAACCGCGCAGTTTTGCTGCTGGTGGTGATCATATCATAGAATAGATGGAAGCGGTCAATAAAATAACCACTGAAACAATAATAAAATAGATATAACTGGTATGTATTCCTAGTTAATTTTCACCAGCATGAAGTGAGTGATTGTATATATATATATATATATATATATATATTTATAAATCAATACTTTTCAATTTTCAATTAATGCTAAAAAAAAATCACGCTTATAAATTCTGCTTAATACCTAGTATTCTTTCAAACAAAAATACAGTTCTTCTATTGAAGCATCCTAAGTTATAAGAAATATGTCTATACATCTAACGGAATTGACTCCAGTACCAAACTCTCTAATATTAACAAATTCGAATAGCGCTCATACAATATGTAAACGCATTATTGAAAACATGGAATATATCTACGAACAAGCTACTGGTCAAGCGTTAATTTCATTGCTTAGTTTGAATAACTTGTCTGCTCGTAAAATAACTAATATTCCCTTACATATACTATTTACCGACCATAAACTCTTAACGGTGTATAGACGAGGTTGGAGCGACAGTATTGATCATAACAATCGGAACTTTAGAATAGTCGTGAATAATAAAAATGTTGGACCAAAATTAGAAACCAGCCTTGCTGTTTTGCCACCAGAGAAAATATTGTCTATCGTTCAATATTGTAAAAATACAATATATACAGTTTTTCATACCTATGAGACATTAACCGGCATTCCATTAATTTCCCCTAAAATTAGTAGTTGGATAAGTTATAATTTATATGATATGCAGATTCAAGATTTACTATCGGATGACATACTAGCTTCAGTATATAATCGAGGATGGAACGATCAAGAAACTAGTTTTAAAAATAAGAAAAATATGTATAATACTAATTGTGTTGCAACACCTTTTGACATCAATGTTAACTGTTATAACAACAATAATAATATGTATAATCACAACCAAACAATTCAACCTCGTCTAACTACATGCACCACAAGCAGAACTTTACAGAATGTAAAAACCAAAGGAAGTGTAAATGTAAATAATACAGTTGTAAATATTGAAAATAATCTTTCCAATCACAATAGTATTGCAATTATAAAGAAAAATGTGAATATTAACATAACTGAAGTTATTTTGGATGACAATGCTCAATTGGAAAATCCTAATAATCAGGATTCAAATAAAAGAGAAGAATTAACTAGCCTACAAAAGAATGATAACATAGAAAACGCCACATATTTAAAAGCAACAAATGATGTTATTATTTCAAATGAAGAAGATATGATTATTAGGACTCATCAACCTTTTCCATCGACAACATGTAAAAATTATTATAATAATAAAATTGATTCCAAGTTGAAAGCAGTTAAAAAAATCAAACATAGATCTTCTAGTCCTTTAACCACAGGTACATTTGAACCTAAAAAAAAAGTAAAAAAACTAAACAGTAAAAATAAATTTTGTAATAACCACCATACGAGTAAACCATTTGAGCATAAAAAATGTCAAACTAATAACATAAATGAAAACAAAACATCAAATACAGAAAAAGGTTCTGACAAACAAAACAATTTGAGTTTACCTAATAAATCCATCTCAACGAATCAGAAGCACAACAATGATGATATTGATGATATATTAAACTTTATTAATCGTGAGATACTGCATAATGGAAACATTGTAGTTAACAATTGTAATACAAATCAATGTTCGACTTCATTGAACGAAAATAATGTTAATTCAGAAAATAATTCATTAAAAAAAAAGAAAAAACGGAGTCGAAATAATAGAAGAAGAAAAAAAAACTTTTAGTAGAAGATACTCTTTCAACAATAAAAACATAAAAGTTAAAAATTATTAAAACTTGAATGGGGTATTATATTTACACGCCCTGCGGTTACTCCCATTTGGATATCTTGACTGATTCGCCAATGTTTCAAAACACTTGCATGTTCTATCTTCAGGGCTCTGGTTTGATGTTGTTCGTACCATGTTCTCCTGTAGACGGTACAAACAACATCGAACCAGAGCCCTGAAGATAGAACATGCAAGTGTTTCGAAACATTGGTGAATCAGTCAAGATACCCAAATGGGAGTAACCGCAAGGCGTGTAAATAGTGTAAATATAAAAATTGTTTTTTATTTTTAATGTATATAATCCATTTTCTAATAAAAATTATTATTTGTGAATTATTAATTTTATAGATTTTATCTGGATAAAATTATATTGATTTACAATTATTATGATTCTTATGGTAATTATTTTAAATTGTAATAAGAGTTTTACTTCCTATTTTTGTTATCTGTAGAATTAAGAATTTTCAAATTAATATGTAGTACCACGGATGGGTAGTTAACATCTATTACAAGATCTCTGTGACATTGATTGACAAATATTACTTGAATAAAAAAATGCACTGTGGCATTCAACATGTTCATTTATTATATTAATATTAGCTATGTTGATTTTTTTTAAGAACTGTCGAAGTATATAGACACAATCAAGTGCCCATACCGTGTTTGGTAAAAACAAGCACCGTTTTGCATCATATTGGAACTAAGTTTTCTCTCCTTTTGCTAATTATTGTTTATTAATTAATATTTAATAAAAATACAAATGTTTCGTTCTCTCATAATAAAGGGTAAAAATAAAAATGTTTAGTAACAAATAAATGCTATAATTGTCTGTACTCAATATTTATTATTTGTAATTCACATTTAATAATAAATTGTGATTGTGAAAGCTAAAATTTTATACATTTGCAAATGCTTGGTAGATACATACAATTTCAGAACCAGCAATTATTTTGACTGGAACGTTAGCAGGTATAAATATAACTTTTCCTTTAGAGAAAATGAAATGACTAGATGGTCCATTAACTGTACATTCTCCGTGAAACACAAGAACAATAGAAGCAACATGTCTAACAGTTATGTCATATGTCGTATTTGGGGGTATCTAAAGCATAAATTGTTTATAGTCTCATTTTGTTATGTAAAATGTATATTAATAACAGCTTGAATTCAATACCTCAATGTAAGCTACTGCAAAATCGAGTACAGGTGGCTTAAATAATGTAGTACAAACATTTTCTCGAACTCCGTAAAATAATTTTGATTCAGCAGGTGCGCCATTATAGTTCATAGTCTCACATAAAGTCTTAACATCAATAAATTTTGTAGTTAAACCAGCTCGTATTACATTATCAGAACAAGCCATACATTCTATACAGTCTAAACAAATTTTATGAAAATTAATACCACATAAATAACGACTTTAATATGGTTTAAACCTCCGTTTATGTACGCATGAGGGACGTTGGCATCTAAATATATTGCTTGACCGGGTGACAGTTTAATGTAGTTCAGGAAATAAATACAAAAACATCCAACATCACCAGGATACCAACAATCAAGCTGACAAAATAATTTTTCCAAATATATTTCTTTTTGAGCGATTTCTAAAAAAACATTCAATAACATAAATATTATGTTTTAAAATTATAATTAACCATATTGGTACAAATTTATTCAAAATTTAAAAAAAATATTCTATTAAATAGTAAAAGTAATTAACAGATTACAACAATTTTTATCAACATTTTAAGTATGAGAATATTATTGTTTTCACATACTAGTTTACCAAGCTCCGGAGTACCACCACTGGGTGTCTTCTCCTATCAAGCCATCAAGTAAAATTATATTATGTCTACTTTATCATTTACACTTATTGTACATAAAAATTATATAGATTGTGTAATATAAATAATAAAAGAAAGTTTACCAAGCTCTTTTAATTTGTTTTTGTGATAAATTATACTTTGTTTTATAATATCTTTGTCTGTTGTCATTAGTTTATAAAATATATGTTTAATTAATGTTTGATCGTCAGAATTATTTTTCTTGAACTGATCAATAAGATCAGATCCAATTATTACTTTAAATTCTGGTATTTCTGTAAAAATGACAAATAAATTTTACATTATTAAAATGTATGTCCTGCATATTAAAACATGCTTTTTGTATATGTACCACTAGTACCTTCCAAAAATATTTTTATCTCTGTATATGGTCGAAAACCACAAAGAGCTTCAAAATCACTTAAAGCTATAGCTATTTCTGGTTTATGATTAGAATCCTGATAGAGTTCAGGGAATTTTTTGTGCAGCTTTGCAGCACATTCCTAAAACATAACTCATTAATGAAAATAGTATTTAAAGCATACAAAAATCTATAATGAAATTTAATACCAACATTATAAAAGGTTTGTTTTTTATCAAATTTTAATCAATTTATTACTCAATATGAAAGATATCATAAGATAATCCGTATATATTATAGTTTTAAAATACATCAATGTTTCAAACATTAATTTTAAATTTATTCACCTTATCTGGATGTACTTGAATTGACAAAGCTGAATTTATGGACAAAACTTTTAATAAAAATGGTAAATTATTACCAAATTTGGCTCTAGACGCATCTCCTAAAGCTTCAAGATTAACATCTAACCAACATTTTAAATCTTGTCCATTTGCCTTTACTTTAGCCATTCCTTTATCTAGGGTGCCCATCCAAAGCTCAGCATAAGTTTGTTGTTCGTCCACGGAATCAATATGTCCACCAGCTAAACTTAATCGGCTCACCTCACTTTCCATACCTTTTTTCCCCCAATAATATTTCTGAATCGAACACTTTAACTCAAAAACTTCAAGCATTTTAAATTATATAAACGTATGTTAATAAAAAAAAAAATTGATTATTTTTGTTATAATGGTAGTTGTGAAGAAAGTATTGTGTTATGCAAATGCAACACTTAAAACGTTCAAGAGAAACAAAATTATATTATCATTACAATTAATATTTTATAATAACATTAATAGTAATAAATTATAGTTTAAAATTATCAGTGCAAATAAGCAGTACTTAAGTGATATACACGGCTGTAGGACTTTAACCCAACCAGGTTAGTATACAATGCCTACCAATCCACCTTACTGTAATTCTCGATTTTAAAGTTAAAAGCATGGTGTAAATTCAAATTAACCTTACTTGAAAAGTTCATACTTTAAACATTAAAATTTAAATAATACTTTATTGTAGTCATATGATGATAATATTAACAATGATCAAGTATTCATAATCAATGCTCTGACCGTAGGAACCTATGATAACTTATCATATTGTAATAAAATCACGGCTTTAGATAATAATATTATCATTTATACCGTGATTTACTGATTACAGTTTAATGTTATGCGTGGGCAGTGGGCACTACTAAGTATCAGCATCGTAAGTCGTAACCATCGACTCGTTAATCGTCAATTTTAAGTATTATTAATCTAATAGTCTTTAGGTACTTAGCATTCAAAAACTGTTAAATAGCTGCTGTACATTTACTAATAAACTTTACTTTCATAAAGTGTGAATATTAAAATACAAGTATGACATAGATTTTGTGTAAGGAAGCAAAAAAAAATCGTATATGTAAAAATTAACAACACTTCATATCTTTTAGATCAAATCAACACTAATTGTTTACTAAACCTGTTAATTTTCATTATTTACAATCATGTCATTGCTTACATCAGAATGGGTTCCATATAAAACAGAAAATTATTTTAGGTGGGTATGATGAATTTATATTATTTCACCTTTGAATTTTATGTTTTACTGTTCATTGCTTGCTTACAATCATGAGTTCTATCAAATTTTTTTTAAACAAAATTAATGAAAAATTAAATATTCTTCTGGTTTCTAATTGATACAATTAATTTAATTATATTATTACGTCTTGAATTTTATTTTAGAAAAATGGAAATGTATCCCAATATGTATTGGTGCAACGAAATTGATATAAATACATCTGTCGTAATCGCAGCCCCTTGTGGAGGACCAGTTATTGTAATTCGAGATAGAACAAAATTAGTTTCTATAAAAACTGTTGGGAAGCCAATAATTTCAGTATACACGTCATCTGGAAAAATTATTTCCTCTTTTGTGGTAAAATGCATAATCATAATTATAAAGATTCATTGGGTATATAACAATTTTTATTCTTTATATTTTAGTGGGATAGTAGCCATCTAATCAATTTAGGTTGGACAAATAATGAAGAAATACTATGTTGTCAAGAAAATGGTTTGGTATCAATCTATGATTTGTTTGGAAATTATCAACATACGTTTAGTATGGTCAAGGTATATTGTACAAATCCTGATGTCTTACTTTTTCTTTATCTTGATTTCACTCACTTAAATACTCCCTCACTTATATTATAGGATCGACAAGACATAAAGCTAATAGATGCTCGAATATCCAGTAATTTTATGAGAACCATAGTTGCTGTTTTAACTGAATTTTATAGCATTTATATAATGAATGATATAACAAAAATTAAAGTTCATGTTTTACCTGACATACCAGGTAATCGATGCTTGCTAATTGATTTATATTTACATTGTATTATAGTAATATAATAAATGTTGTATATTTATTTATTTTGTAGATATGAATGCTTTGCCAAATTTATGGGAAATTATATTGTTAGATAGACAAACAAGTGTTTTAGTATGTACTGAACATTCACTTTATACAGTATCACATGCAGAATGTAAACAGCAAGTATGTTTAATGTTAATACAGTAAAAATAACAATAGCGACTCGTGCATATGTAAAGGTTGTGCAGTCGCCACACCCCTAGTTGAAAATTCAAAAATTATTTTAAACTTGTTTGACTTTTATTTCAAGCTGAAAAAGTTGTACAGTTGAACTTATTATTGTTATTAGTCTTTCTATGTACAATGTAGTATGTACATATACAATCAGGAACAGGGATGGATCAACAAGCCCCGGTTAAGTCAGGGCTTTTTTAAATAAAACTTTTTATTATAAAAGATAGTACTTTTATTTTGTTTATAGGTTGAGAGTTACAAATGACCCAAATTTTGAATTATACAAAACATATCTATAGTCAGGACAAAAGTTTAAATACACACCAGTAAACAACAATTTTTTTAGTTTATTCGTTTATTTTAAGAAAAAAACTTACTTTTTTTACATGATATTGGTGTGTACATTTTCTCGTTATTCTTATGTATTTAATAGAAATCTAAAAAAAAAATGTATAAATGCACATTATCATAGTATTTTTTAAGTCGACGAACTCCTTTAGTTCCAAAGTTATAGCTACTTGAAATTTGCATATTTCCGCCAATATGACAATAAGATACGGCTGGTGGCATCTTAAATAAAAATCATAATAAAAAGGGTGTCCGGTAAAGTGCATTTATACCCTATTATTATTTTTTTTATTTCTATAAAATATAACGAGAAAATATACACGCCAAAATTATGAAAATAAAGTAAGTTGTTTTCGCAAAATAAATGAATAAACTAAAAAATTATTTTCTCGTCTGTATTCAAACTTTTGGCCTGTACTGTATACATTAATAAACTATTAAATTATTGGCTACGAACCTCTTTTATGAGAGATCTTATTTTTATCGCACTTCTTGATGAACAACCACTTGTTGTAACTTAAAATACTGGTAAAAAAATGTATATATGTTTATGAAAATGTGTGTATTTTTCAGTATGTCAAATTTAATGATTCAGATTTAAACAAAGACGTTAATCTACAAAATTCAATAAAAAAATTAGCAATATCATCGGATCATAAAGATATAGCATTACTAAATAGCGATAACAAAATTTGGTTTGGATCTTCAGACTTACGAAAAGTTTATAGAGTTTACAAGAAGACATTCTCGAGTCCTATTGACCAAATGTCTTGGTAATTATTTGAATTTATTTAATTTAAAAAATCTTAATTGAAAAAATTCCCTATATTAAATAGGTGTGGCTCGGAAGGAGTAGCATTGTACTTTAAAGCAGAGGACATAGTTATGATAATAGGAAAACATGAAGATCGAGTATCTTTCATTTATACAGATCCCATTTGTTTAGTGCCAGAAATCGACTGCGTTAGAGTGATAGGCGCATATTCAAATGATATTCTACAATTAGTGCCACATTATGTACAAGAAATTTTCCGGATAAACAGTACAAGCCCAAGTTCCTATTTAGTTGAAGCATCCAAACAATTTCAAGTAACTGTATACTGTTCTTAAGAGGATGCCAAATCACCAGTAAAAATGAAAAAATATTTGGGCAGGACAAACATATGGTGACTGTATTCACTGTAGCCTTACCAAATTTTAACAATAAATATAAAAAAACGTTATCTATGTCATAGGGTTTTTTTTTTATTTAACTTGAACACAATCCAAATTCTTTATTTGTAAAGATTAATTATTTTAATTAGAAAATTTAATGAAAACTAGTGAGTCTTTATATCAAAAACAACAAAAACGCTGCGACACATACAGTTTTCTTCTGTGTATTGGGAAAATTGACTAATCTACTGTTCTCATAAATTAGTCCCTCTCAAAGCAGTTTTAATAAAATAAAATTTTAATTATTTTTATAAAAAAAGACCGCGATAGTCTGAATAAAAAATTCTCATTACTATATTAATTAGTAAATTATATACCATAGTTTAACCCATAAATTAAGACTGCAAAAACTTGCCTTTATTATACTCCTTAATAAATGTGTGGTTTGGCGTCCTATTAACAAATATAGCTTCCTATTAACAAATATAGCTTTTTTTTAACATCATTTCCATGACATCCAATTCATATTGAATTAATATTTTAGAAGCGAAATCATCGGGCTAACGAATACATACATTTGGTACATCAAATGTTAGAAACTGCTGTTGGTAATTGTATAGAAGCAGCCGGACATGAAATTGATGTAACCACTCAAAAAGTTTTAATAAAAGTTAGTAGATGAGTTACCATGAATACAATTGTATTTTAAAGATTAGTATCTACTAAATTTGTATTATTTTATAATAGGCAGCTCAGTTTGGCAAAACTTTTCTTCAGAATTGGAATCCAGATCGTTATTTGTACATGTGTAGATTGCTAAGAGTTCTTAATGCTGTTCGTGATCCAAAAATTGGAATTTCTATTACATATCCACAGTACGAAAATTGTTTAAAGTATTTTTTTATTATAATAAATATATATATATAAGTGACATATGACAGTAAATACAGGGCACGGGAATAAACCTTTTTTGAAACAAGCAGTACATCATCAATTATTGAAAACAAAGTTATTTATTTTTATTACAAACCAGGACCAGGAGAAGGAGACTCCTTAAAAACCCAACCTCGAGAAGGACACTCTAAACCAACCGGTTAGGTTTCCTGTCCAAATTTGGCGGCCAAACTATCGTTTTTAACGATCTGTCCTGGTTACATGCAACTCAATTCAACCCAACTCAGCCTAATCTTAAAACGACCCCTTCAGGGCCACCAGACAAAGAAGCTCCAACGTTGATACCAAATATCTTAATCTGTTAGCTTAATAATATTTAACTAATATTACGCATATCTACTATACATTTTGTTATATGTTATCTCATTATCATTACTATATACTATATATTGCATGTAACGACAAACCATACAAATAAATAAATAAATCATAACAAATATATTTTAATAATTAGGCTACAGCAAATATCAGTTCAAACATTATTAGACAAACTTGTTGGTCAAAGACATTACTACTTAGCTCTCCAAGCGTGTTCCTTTATTCGTATGTCAAGTAAGCTAGGGTCTAGTCGTATTCTTACACATTGGGCTAAATTCAAGGTAAGTTAAATACAATATTTTTTTAAATAAAAAAACTAAGGTTATATATTGACTCTAGGTGAAGCAAACTCAAATAGACAGAGAACAATTAGCTACTACAATTGCCGAAAAGCTTGGAAAGTTTTCAGGTGTTTCATACCATAATATTGCAGAAATAGCTGCAAATAGTGGCCGATTACAACTTGCAATAAAAGTAACTTTTATTAAATATATAGTATTAATTGGTTATGTTTTAATTATTTCTATATGATGTTTTATTCTCAAATTGTTTGTATACAGCTACTAGATTATGAGCCTCAAGTGAATTTACAAATACCATTACTGTTAAAATACCAACAAGATAATATCGCATTAAAAAAGGCTGTTGAAAGTGGAAATACAGACTTAATTTATATGGTTTTGCTCCATATGCAAACAACTATGCCACTTGGAAAATTTCAAGTATGTATCGTATTTGTGTTCTATATTTAGGTTGGATGGAGACAGACAACATTGTTGAAGTCAAACCCAGTACTTTTAGTTCCAAGTTCGATGCCTTATACCATTGTGCCACAAACATTAATATTTCCACTTTCAATTTTACTACCTCCGTTCATTTCCTATACAATGTGGCACACTACACATTCTATTTCATTGTCCGCCACTTACTAATCAATTGGCCTTTAATTTTCTTTTATTCTATAATATGTTATTCTTTCTTCCAAAACTTTTACATTTTCTGATATCACGTCCTATTGGTTAATTTCATTCCTTTGTTAAGTACAATGAATTTTTCTTTTCAGTAAAATTTGTTATTTATTTATTGTGCTATCCTATCGCAAGCGGTTTATTTGTTGGAGAGGGAGATTGCTGTACAAGTTTTACTCATATATTTCTTTTTACTATACTAAATGTTAAATATTTAATCCAAATTTATCATTAATGTTATATTATAAAATAAATTTCTTGAGGGGGAAATAATTAAAAACATATTACCGATATATATTTTTTTTTTTTTACATATAAAACAATATGTATGGTTGATAACATTAAAACTTTTAGATGGAAATTAAAAAAAGTGCTGTTGCTCAAGCTCTTTACATAAAATATTGTCACCAACAGTCGGGATACACGTTATTAGATATGTATACACAAGAAGATAATCATGAACATTTAGCTCTATACCATGTTACTGAAACGACAAAAATCAAAGTAAAGGTTTTAACTATGTATGTAACAGTGGTGTTTTTACATTTTTCTGCTAGGGGGTGATATACAAAATAAAAGAAGCGTTGCTCCCTAAGCTCCTTGTTTAAGTCCTGCCTTTATGAGCAGACCAAAAAAGGTGCACTAAGCTTTTTGCTTTATACTGTCTATTTAAATATATAGTTTGTTGTTTCACATTTTCAATGAGACATAAAACAATAAAGTATATTTTCAAGTTACCTTTTTATCAACATATTAGTTATATAAAAAAAAATTATTAAAATATAATATAGATTACCTTAAATTTTTAATAAGTGTTTTTTGTATAACAAAAAACTAGGGAGTGTATATCACCCCCTGTAAGTAGACCACTAATATGTAAAATATATTATTAGCTATATATTTTTATATTATAAATTAATAAAAATTATTCTTCACTATTGTTTAATATAAGGAGGAGGAGGAGTGGCCGAGTAGGTAATGCAGCAGTGTGTTATTGCTCACTGTCTACACCCGGTCACGGGCGCTCAGTTTGCCGGGCGAGCAATCGTCCGGTGAAAAGGGGCTGTCATCCTCCTCTCCGGCGACGGACTGGTGACATGTCCCAGAAAGTGAATCCACCTAGAAACCATCATCTCATGATGGCAGCTTTGAGCTTTAAAACCCATTAAGCTGATGATGATGATTGTTTATTATAAATCTTTTCATTTGATATTTAGAACCCCAAAGATATTTCTTTATCAATAAATGAAGCCATGAATTGTTACAAAAGAACACGAGATGAGTTTGCACAGACAACCTGTGAAAGTCAGTTAAAACTAATAAGATATCAAAGTAGTCTAGAAGAGAAACTAAAGGAAAATTTTTTTAACTTGTCTCTACATGACACTTTAGTTAAGCTACTGGAAATAAATGAGTTTAAGCTTGCTGATAAATTACGCTCTGAATTCAAAGTACCTGAGAGAAGGTAAATATGTATTTTACTACAATGTATAATGTTCTTCTATATTATTTTTATTTGTTTTAACTAATTATGGGGTGATATTACTTTATGTTGAGAATTTAAAATCCTTATTCCAATTAATCAAAATGATTTCTATGGACATAGGCATAGCATTTTTTTGGGGGGGGGGGGGTGTTATAGTCTTTACACAAATTGTTAACATACCGATATGTGGGAGGAATTCCCCACACACAGCCTATGTGTATCCCCAATTTTTTTATGCATCTATTAGTGTATACACCAAAATACATTTGTATTTTGTTACATACATTAAATAAACTAAAAAAATATAGACTAATCTAATTGTGAATACCAAAATAATACAATAGTATTATTTCATGAAATATGTTATTTTTTGGTTGTTGTCATCTCGTCGTTTTACAAAAATAGAAAAAAAGTTATGCATTAACTTGTGCACAAGTGTTGAAAACCTATGTTAAATCCCATTTAAACTTCAACCATTTTGGGGGCATGAGTTAAAATTAATATTTTTTGAATTTTTTGTATTTTAATCTCATTTGTATTATATTTAAATACATTTTAGGGGGATAAAATTCCCAAGGATAAAATTCGAAAATCTACTTTTTAAGGACCACCATAATAGACATATTTTAAGTTCTTTTTACTTTGTCATTATAGAAAACAATTAAAGTTTTACTTATGTATATTCAATATTACAGATTTTGGTGGACAAGATTAATTGTTTTAGCCAAGCAACGTGACTGGATTGAAATTGATAAATTATCAAAATTAAAGAAATCACCTATAGGCTATGAAGTAAGCCACATTTATAAAATAATAATTTAATATTTAAAATGCATAATAATATATAATATTTCAGCCATTTGTTGATGTGTGTATTGATTGTGGAAACAAATATGAGGCGTTAAAATATTTGCCGAGAATAAAAGATGAGCTCAAACAAGAGTATACTACCAAAATAAACTCAATGTCGTATTGATACTCAAATTATATACTTAAAAACTATATAATAAAATAGAATTTTTTATTAGTAAAATTATTTCATTTGGTACCTAATGAATATATTGTATTGTTTCCTAATTATATATTTTATAACAAATTTATGCTAGTATATCATATATTATCTATTATATTTAATAATATCTGCGGTATTAATAATTTTTAAATATTTTTTTAAGTGTAAATTAATGTACATTTATTATATTTATATTTTTTATTACTTAAAATTAAATGCAAATATTTAAATACATTTGTCATTATGTTTTTAGAAACTCTATTTCAATCACTACTATAGTTTTATTGGCTTACAATTTTGAGACTTGGTAGTGAAACTAGTGTAAGAGAGAGGTTATTTTTGATATCAAACATTTTTACTTATTAATATTTATATATATATTATATTCTTAATTTTTATTCATATGTATGTTAACTCCGTTACTAATAGTTTTTTTGTTTAGGTTATGATCCATGTGATACACAAAAATATGTTCACAGATAGTTATAAATCTTCATCGTTGGCTACTCAGGTCACCCCTTCCCTTCTTCTATGAGAATTTTACTGATATTTTATACTAACACGTAAAAATTTAGTATAATAAATAATTAATTAAAACTATATAACATATTCTCTATTTATCTAGATACTCAAGAAAACTGTATAGTCAATAAGGTACTCAATTAATTATAATAATTATTATACTTATAATAATAAAGGGTATAGGTGTTTGGTGCACTTGTGCATGATCATGCAATAGTCACTAATCGAATGTGCGATTTGTGCCCATATTAAATTTATATAATTAAGACACATAACCTTACCATATAAGAGAGTTAGTACAATAAATATAGAAGGTATTATGTTCGACTCTGCTAGTTTTTTTTTTATAATCAAAATTAATAAAATAATTATAGGTTACTACTTAAGTACTAGCTACTTCGCGCTGCTTAAAAATATGCTACCTATTTGTGTATTTGTACGAAGTATGGTGTCAAACAATGAAGTGAGGAGAAGTGAGAACTGAAGTGTACAAGTGACATTTTTTTTAAATAACAAGTTTTGACACAACTTGTCAATAAGACCTATTTCTAACAGTGTAAGTTTTATAATTTTTTATCGATTAATGAAAGTGTTCAACCAATACTAAACTTAGCTTCGTCAAAAAAAAAAGTATCACTTCAATCGTTTAGATGAAGAGGACAAAAATATACAATTATTTGCAAAAAATAAACTAAAGAAATTCTAAATTTTAATTTTGTTATTCAGATACTTTCAGATATTCAAAATATTTGTATTTTCAGTTCATTTTTCTGTTTAAATCAGTGCAACAATACATTTTATCATTACACATTTTTTTTTTAACTAAACAAGTTTTTTTAGACAACCAGTTTTACCCAGTTTTCAAAAATGTAGTCATCTCAGTAAATACTAAATTATCTCAAAATGTCTCTATCATAACTGATCATTTTTTAACTGATTTTTAATTAAAATCTATTGTGATTTATAATTTCGTAATCGTTTACTACAACCACAGCTGATTATATGAGTATAATCAGTCTATTAATTTAAATTATATAATCTATGCTACAACATTATATTATGTAGCTCAATATAAATTCAATCCGAACTCATTAGTCAGGCGTATTATGATTTTGCATTTTCACTATTAAATCTAGAAATAACAATTACTGCCCTGTGTAGTTTTGTGCGATTAATAATGCGTGTAGAAGTATAATCTATTGTCACATGATTATTATACATCTATTGAATACTACTCTACCTATATTTTTTTCACAACAAATGATGTATTATTTAAATAGGTACTTTACACTTATGATTTATTGGATTACCTGCTGTAAATATAAGTGTTTATTTTTCTTATTCCTCGCTTTCACGCGTCTGGTTTCATACTTGACAATATAGGTCATAGATGATATTTCAATTATTATACGTTGTACAATATTATAATCCTCATTCGTCGTCTGTTTCCTACTAAAGAAATCTCCCCGATTAACTGATATAACAGCTTCTGTAATAAGTGAATACCATAGGAGTATACAATATTATTTGTCGATTTACGGTGTTATATTATTAACAATACTAGTGAATGGAATATGGATCATGTAATTATTGATTTAAAATTAGATTTATATTGTTACCTATAGACATGATATACGATTTATTTGTATCTGATATTACCACTATTCATACGTATATAATTCAATATTGGGTATTGAGAGAGAAAGTATTAAAAATTCAAAGTAAGCAAAAAACAATATATATAAAATTCAACTAAATTCCACGTAGAATGTGCCTCTCAATTCAGTTGACAATTATATCAAAATTTAAGTAGTGAGAACCATAAGGCTTTACTTTTATAACATTTAACAGGGTGGATAATTTAAATTAAACGTTTTACTTCAATGTATTGTAACCTAAATTTATTGTATTCAAATCTAAACGGTAAAAGAACGTCGAAGCCATTAAACACTATTTTAAATATTTAAAATTAAATTTAAAACGAAAAAATTACTCATTTTTAAAAATTATTTTTACTTGTAGTTGCAAACAATTTCTTTTCTTTGTATGAATTTTCGTTTTTTTCGACTTTTCCATTTGAAATTATCGATGACACTGCCATCACTAATTCATGTCATTAAATGGCCTTTCGGACACTCTCGTGTGTTCGGAAGATCATTAAATGACATAATTTTTTAATTAAAAAAACCGTTCTCATGTAAACTGCATCCTTTTAAATCGTAAAAATTTATATCATTCTCATTAGCCATTTTGGTAGCTTTTTTATTATTAACGACTTTGTATTGATTTCGTGTTTATTTATTTAACTTCTAAAGCGATGCTTTAGTTAAATAAAAAATAACTCGGGACAAAAATAGTTGACACAGGTACATTGGTCACAGGTATACATTGTATTTGCATATAAATATATAAAACAAAATTATTTGACAAATTGTAATTATTGGTATTTTTTTTTGTTTTTTGAAAATTTATTAATTCTGAGGTTTTATTGAATGGGTCGGGGCTGTGATTTTTCTTGTCTTGCTTGTTCTACCTGTTGTGCAACCGCTCGGAGAATTGATGGATGTATACCAGGTCCTGACGGCTGATATCCATTTTCGTCTGCTATATAAGTAACTTCTACAGCAGCGCCTATAAACATACATACTTAAATTATTTGACGGTAAATAATATTTCTTTAGTATTATACATTTCAAAATTGTATATGAATTATTTAAACCCCCATATTCAAATATTATATATATATATATATATTTTTTTTTTCACTTGAACCTAAAATAAAACGGTTTTTTTAAGTAGTTACATATACTATGTAAATTCAAATGCTAGTTAAGAAATATTTTTATTATAGAAATTATGTTAGCAAACAGGAAACAAATCATATTATTACAAAACATAATATAAAATAACTCATTTCTATTTACTGTATCATGGAAAACATGGTGTAATAACTAATATGACAATAATAAAGGCTGTATAAAAAAAACTATTATGATAAGAGTCAAGAGTTTTTCATTATTAGAAAAAATCGACAAAAACATAAAAATTCTATAAATAATAAAAAAAAACTAATAATATTGTATACATCGAGTTACAAAACACCTTATATACGAATAAACAATTATTTAGTATTCGTCGATATCATATTGCCGATATATGGTCAACTCTAGTAGGAGTTATTATTTAACAAATAAATACCTTCTGAAGTCAATGAAGAGTATGATCCTTGAACAGACATAGCCGGTTCGAATCCTGCGACTGTTGGGTATTTTAGAGAACCAGTTTCTTGTCTTTGCGTTCCATCGGCCGATTGGTAACTAAATAGAAATGCGTTTAGGTATTCTGTATTTAACATAAATAGTTAAAGTCCCTCTTAAATTACCTAAACGAGTACGATCCTTCCGGTGTGATGTCGAATGTCTGCTGTAGGATTGGAACAAATGCTGGTGCGATATTATATGGGTTTGGTGCGATAAACTGCGGTGCGAAATTCGGTCTGTAAGGGTTGAAAAACGGTAACGGAGTAGTTGAAGGTATCGGCAAAGGAGTGATTACAGGTTGTGGAGTTTGAGCTAAACATTCTGCGACTAGCAATATAACAAAAAGTAAAACTGGCACCTAAAAAAAAATAAAAATAAAATTGTTTTTAATTTAGGAATATACACACTTGTATGAAAAAAAAATAATTTAAACATTTACTTACACTTGGTTTGGAGTACATGTTTGAATTCTGATATTTCGTGTAATCGGTACAAGAAGAATAGCCCAGTGTAGGAGCTAAATAAAATCTGTTAGCGTTCGCAGGTGAGAAGAGTACTAATGTTTGTAATAGAATAATCGGTTGCTTATAAATGTTTGGCTCATCACAATCTCCCGATTTGCCAATTGTAACTCTACCCTACTCTTTAGAAATTGAGTAATCCGGAATTCAAATGTATTATTGATGTATAGAATGCAGAATACCCAATTATAAAAATATCGTTTTACGATTTTTTATTTAATACGGTTTGTTTTGATTTTTAATTGCCAATCTACATTCATTCATTTATCTTTCGGACTCTTGGTGTGACCATTAATGTAACGCATAAGGACCTCTGCAAAGTGCATACATGTGTATAGATAAAAGTTCAAACAACCAATCACTAGAAAATACTACTGCGGTCTGCGATTATATGAAAAGTTGTAATTACCTATTGAAACCCTTATTTCATAACCATTGACAAGTTTATAAAACATGTTTGCTTTTTTTAATATAATATTTATTATAATAATAACATTAAAGACTTTGAATGCCTTATTCAAAATGCACGCTAAAAAGTATTGTTATTGTTTCAAAGGAAAAAAATTGGTTATGATTTTTATATGAAGAAAGGCCTGCAGGCTACAGAGGTCAATGTCCTGTTTTAAGGTATCTTTTGATTATTTATTTAATCTGAAGACCAAGTCATATTTTATTCCTAGGCTGTCGGCTAAGTTGTTAAGTACCGTACTCGAGAAATATGTTTTATTTGTATAGCTTTTAAGGCTCTAATTATCATTTTTACGTACAGCATTTTTTAACTAAGCTATCAATAGGTATAATAATTTATGTGAGTAATTTTAGTTTTAAATTTTAAGCTTTAATAACTTTTTCTTTGTAAAAAAAAAAAAAAATCATATAATTAACAGTGGCTCAAATAGATACATATAGTCATATAGACTCCACTTCCTCAAATATTCCTTCAAAATAAAATTCCAATTAAATCATCAATCTAACATAGTATAGTTATTTTTTTATTCTTCACGAAGGACTACGCAGACCACAAAACTATTTAGCGCCTATGTTATGTATATTATTAATATAATGACATTTGTTAAAATATAAATAGATGACGTATTGTTAATTTGTTATTATACTTCGTTATATAATATATACCTATTTATAAATTCTCATATAAGTTATAACACGTTTGCTTTGCTTTACACATAAAGTAATACTCATTTTTAAAAAGTCTATCACTATTTAGGTCACATTTCACATTTTATGTATGCGTTGTAAGTTAGAGCATCATCGTGTTACCTAAATAATTCACCAGTACACTGTTGAAAGCGAAAATCATCATTATAACATTTACCGGATAACAAGCAACATCGCATCGTCAGTTAAATATCTAAGTTGTCTAATTAGGTATCATTTGATTTATTACTGAACTAATAAGTAAATGGCGTACATAACAATATACTATAGTTCTATATTATACCTGTGCTTATTGCTTAGTACATCTATACATACCATCCATAAGCTATTATATTTTTCTCTTTAAAATACAGATTGTTTATACATTTTAATATTCAGTAGAATATTGTAATCCCTCCCTCAATTGACTTTTTTTAAATTAGTAAATTATGTTGGCCAATTTCTGGTTTTTATATTACTAAAAAATAACCATCAAAATAATTATGATTCACGATAGAGTAAAGAATAATCTTTTTTGTATGTTTTACATATTATCGACATGTTAAACTACATGCTAGTTATAATAGTCAATTCTCGTTATCGGTGATTGTGGGTCGACTTATTTTTCAAAAGAAATTATTATATAAGTTGCCTCTTTAATACATTTAGTCACTTCTTTTTAAAGTTGCTTCCTTGTTCTTATAGCTATTATGGTAAACACACAAGTTTTTCAACTAAAAACAATAAATTAATAGATCAATAAATTATTTACCCACCATCGGGCTATCCTTAAAATACGACAATAGTCAATGTTATAAATATAAAATGTTTGAAATACCTAGCTGTCAAATTCAAAGGCTATCAATCCAGCTCAAAATTTATATTAAATATAAATGTAGAAAAAATGTAATTAAAGTATGTTTTTTTAACTATTCTTTTTAAAACTCCACGATGATTAGGTTATCACTTATCTAGCCTATTTTAAACTTATGAATACTATAGCTAAGGACTAAGGTATCTGGTAGTCTAGTATAGGTATATAAACACATTTTGTAATGTCTATCATACGCAGGATAGAGGACATTATTAAATATTATGTAACTCATTCTTCAGAAAAAAAGATGACAAAGGAGTTTTATTATTACTTAGCTTACTCAAAAACACATTAAGGTTAACAACAGTAAGTATGGGTAATGCAGACAGCATACAGACTTTAATAACAATAATGAGATACACCAAAAACGTGACTGTTATTTAGGGCTATTAAATTTAAGCACTTAGAATTTAAAAATTAGACAACAAGTAACAACATAAGTAAATCATATTTATTGTCTATATGTATACATGTATTTATATATATATATATATATATATATATATATATATATATATATATATATATATATATATAAGTTTAATTGAGTATTCGTAATGACTGTTCAATTTATTAAATATACTATACATACAGTAAAAAATAAAATTATTATTATTATCAATATCATATAAAGGGTGATTCTTTTATCATGAACCACTTAATATCTCATAGGGTTCAATAAGAAATAACATTTTTTTTTCATATTGTTGTTATATAACATGATCTTAATTTTTCATAATTTTTTTTTGGTTTTACCCACCTCCCAACTTAATTTTTTGATAGCAACTTTTAAAACTTAAATGGTAACGTATATATTTTATTAACTTTCAAATTGAAAATAATGTTTTAAAAATTTTGACTGGCCGATAACCAGTTTCGGATAACTATTCTTGAAGTTATTGAAGTTTCAAGTTTAGGGCAGGAGGAAAGGTGGAGTGTACCAACTGTACGCATTTTCCAACTGCACTTCCCCTCCCATCTTAACTTTAAAACTCTTATATAAAACTTCAAAAATAGTTATCCGAAACTGGTTATCTACCAGTCAAAATTTTTAAAACATTATTTTCAATTTAAAAAGTTAATAAAATATGTACGTTACCATTCAAGTTTCAAAAGTTGCTATCGAAAAAATTAAGTTGGGAGGGGGGTAAAACCAAAAAAAAATTATGAAAAATTAAGATCATGTTATATAACAACAATATGAAAAAAAATATTTTAATTTCTTATTAAACCTTATGACATATTGAGAGGTTCGTGATAAAAGAATCACTGTATATATTTATATTTTCACGTAATAACTAAAACGCGGAAAAGCAAATAAAATTAAAACTGCGAACTTCGGATAGTAGGTTAAAGTGGCATTATAGTTTGGCTTTTAATTATATTTAAAAAAAATATCTGAAAATGTTTAAATTTAAAAATTGCTTTCAAAGACTGGTTAAAATTAATGGGTTAGGCCTAATTTAATTAGGTTATTTTACTACTAACCTAAGTTAATTTTAAGTTGAAATTATTGAGAAAGCCATAGATTAAACATACGGACCTGGAGACTTTAAAAAGTTCAACCACGAGAAGGACACTCTTAACCAACCGGTTGGTTACCAAACCAAATTTCACGGCTAAACTATCGTTTATAACGATCTCCTGGCCTGGTTACATGCAACTCAACTCAACTCAATTCAACCCAACTCAACCTAATCCCAAAACGGCCCCTTTCAGGACCACCAAAGAAGCTCTAGCCTTTAGGCTCTAACGTTGATACCAAATATCTTAATCTGTTAGCTTAATAATATTTATAACTACTGTTACTCATATCTACTATAATATATTTTAAGTATGTTATTTCATAACCATTACTCACTATATATTATATATTAAAATTAAATGTGAATTAAATAAAAATATATGAAATTGAAATAAAAATTATTATATATGAAAGTAATTACTAATGATATCGTTATAGACAATTAATATACCATGTTTATGGTTATACATTATTATTGTAGGCTATGTTTTTAATAGGTTGTTTTCTGAATAGTAGAGCGCGAATCGGCGAATGACAATTGACAGTTAAGCATACCTATTCACTATACCATTTGACATTAATGCAGTGTAAGCCGTCGGCCGTGCCATTTAAATTTTAGGTAGCCAATCCAAAATTGATAGTACCTACCTAAAATGTAGGGAATTTTTTCTAAATGTTTTTTGTACATGGTGCTGTTCCTTTCTTAAGTTTGTAAGATATATATGTATCAAATTAGTGAATAAATGCGAATAAAAAACGTATTTATTGTACCGTTTAACTATTAGAATAAAACAATGTTATTTAGTAATTAATGATTGAACAAATTTTAGTTTGAAGTATTTATGAGTAGTAATGATTGATATTCATTTTTGTTAATTATAGTCTATTGAAACTATTCTAATATACTTATTAATATTTTCGTACTTCAGTAACTTTATAAATCTACGGTTCTCATTTACATTTTCATTGCAAATAAAAAGGTAAAGAATGTTTTATATAACAAAATATTAATCTATTATTATTTCTAAATTTAATAACTTTTTATTATTTTTCAATCAACAGATCCAATAATGATGTATAAGGAGAACATAAAGAAAAAAGATATTATTGTGATCCTCATAAACCTTATGGTGCTATTCCTAGTTGTGTATATTTATTTTATTGTTGAAAATTTGAAAATGATTTTTTTCAATGGAGTCCCATGCGTATTGAAAACATCAAAATCTGGAAGTTTATTCGAGGGTAGCAATGACGAATTTGTTTTTAGCAATGAAAATAAACAACATGTGGTCATTAGAAAGGCCAGATCACTTTCGGAAACGACATGTAATTTAAAATAAGGATTCATTGTTAATATTTGTAGTGTTGATTAGTTTTGTTGATTTGTTGTTTTTAGTTCAAAAATCATCTCTGTTCTCTTTGGCTCAAACGAACATAGATTTTGAACAAAACGGTAGTTTAAACAATAAGAATTATTTATTATAATTGTTTACAATTATTTATTAGTAACTTAATAAGCAGGTGTTTTGGGACCATGGATACTATCTAACAAGAGTTCGTCAGTGAATATGCCAACACCTGTCAAATTAACATCTAGAAGAACTATATTAGAAATTCTGGATGATGGGCTCTATCTAATTTACATTCAAGTATACTATAAAATGTGATGTGATTAGTCACAATTAATATATTTCCTTATCTTTAATTGCCTTTAGGTATACTATTTGTCATCTACAAAAAGAAACAGTTTTGCTGTAACGAAGTTGTCTTCTAATATTAACGACACATTGGCAGTATGCAGTTGTATGGGTGATCTGGGTGCTGAAATGTCCTGTTTTACATCAATTGTTGACTATTTCAAAGTGGGCGAATCTATATCAGTTAGACTTCGCGAAAAGCTCTCTTCTGGAATGCTTCTCAGTCGTAAAGGTACTCATACTTATTTGGGACTTACCAAGTTATCATGATAACATACTTAACTCTGTGATTTAAAAAAGAAATTTAAAACAGTATTATTTTTAATGTTATATTATTTTAACAATTTTTTTTGTATTTAATAAGGTTAGCATTTTTTTTTGTTATTAAATATATATGAACTTAAAAGAAGTTGTTTTATTTTATCCATTTATAATAATAATTATTCAGAAAAAATAACTTAATTTTAATTTTATCTTAGGATTATAAATAAGACTGATGACAATATCAAACAACTATGGTTTTTATTATATATTTGTAATAATATATTTAAAGTTATTCTATATTTCTTTTAAGACCTTAAAGATAATATGTAACTGATCTTTTATTGTTAACTTTCATTTATTGAAAGAAATAAGTTATAGTTAAAAGATTAATTATACGATAAAAGTTTTTGTAATTTTAAGCTAAGGTTAACAATAAAATTTGTTTATGTGTTTTTTTAGTTTGTTATTAATCAATGCAAGTAGTAAGACATATTATAAGATATATTAATTTTCATTTTGGAAAAAGTTAATCATGCATTTGTGACAATCCATTTGTAACGGATTGTCTTGCATGAGTTGTAATATACGGCGTGAGAAGTATCTGCACAATGGAGCTTTGCTACAAAGTTCGTGAGATCCTTGTATAAACCTTTCTTCGCAGTCCGAGCGTTCAGACTCCTTTAAAATATAAATTTAACATTAAAAAGAGAAATATTTCATTATAAGAAAATTGATTTTGACTTACACAGGTACGACACACACGATAAAGTGTACACAGAGGCAGCATTAAATCTCCAGCTGATCCGCCAATTTCTAAACAGTCTTGGGTTATTTGTAAAAGCTGTGTGCATTCTTTATGTTCACCTAAACATATTTTTAATCAACTTATACTCTATTAAGTTACAAACACAGTCTGCTGTCATGCTAACAGACCATGCTACCCATGTATTTCTTAATGCCACAGACTGTATTTCTTAAATTTAATTGGAATATAGTAAGTTGTATTTTAAACAATGTATTCAAGTTCAAATTTTGAAGTAATTTTACCTTCCACACGTTGACCTGAAGTATCCAAAGACTCGATAGGTTGACTATTATTTTCTGTAGACCACACAATTCCTTTATTATCGTATTGTTTTCCTAAAAATGTTAATTCTCGTCAAATAATTACAATTATATTATGGCTTTTGTTCAAGGCATATTAACAATAATTATGTACCTTGTATGCCGTTGTTCTCATGTCTTAGTTTTTCAATACTGTACGCTTTACTTAAAGTATCGAGTACTTGATTTTTTACGCTATTTATTTCTTCAGGATCGTTAGTGCCTTGTTTAGCTCCTGTGTATTTCAATGCATCATCAATTAATGCATCTTCCAACCACATTAATTTTTCATCCTTAAGATGATTCTCAATAGAATTTTCTTGGTTAACATCATCTTCTTTTCCATAAGCTCGCATGTATTGGTTTAGTATTGTATCGTCAGATGGAATACTTTCAATAGACTTTTTCCTGAAAAAAATTAAAACCTCATAAATATATATTATAATAAGAGCAACATGGAGAACAATAAACTTACTTTCGATCAAATCCAAAATAATTACTCCAATCAATGGACTTTTTTTTTACTTCTATTTTTGTGTCGTCTGCACTTTGATGTTCCTCCAATTTCAATGTAGCATTCAACACTTTATCATTTGATTTGTTTTGGATGTCTGTACTGTTGGGTTTTTCCGATGCAAGAAAGATGTTATTGAGTTCTGCTGCTACCTTTGGATCGGTGTGTGTTTCGTTCATAGAAATATTTTTTTTTGACCTTTTCATTATTCTTGGTTTAACCCAATGGTTATTACGGTATTTATGATTTTTTCTATTCGGATATCTAGGCATGAAGAAGAACTGTCTTTTTGCTGGTAAGCGTCTTTGATAATTGGACTCATACAAATTACGATATTCAACAGGTATGTTTCGTTTCTCATCTGGGATTCCCATAAAGCTTTCCAAATCCTCATCTGACATACCTTGTATGTTTTCCTCTATGTATTTGTCTAAAAGCGAATTCAAGGTGTACAAATAATTATCTTGGTCGTCCATATTGTTATTATTGTTATAATCTTGTACAATATTAGGTGTCGCTTTGTATCTTTCACGGAACGCAGAAGGCATTGCAAACCTATCATATTTCAGCTGTTGTAAATTTTCAGGCATCTCGGCTGAATCTTCTCTTTCGCGGAATATAGATTTTTTAGTAAACTGCTTATGAGGGTTATCTCTGGCCAAGTAGCCTAATAGTTTTTCAACCATTTCATCTTTTGATATTTGACTAGCGGGTGCTTCTTGTTCGAAAATATTTTCCAAATTTCTTAAGTTTTTCTGATACCCATAACCAATGTCTTCTGGCTGACCATCATCTACAATACAGTAAAAATTAAATAATAAGCTTGTGTAACGATTTATAAATAGAGTGATAATTTTATCTATCCATTCAATATCTCATAGGGTTTAGTAAGTAATTAAATTTTTTTTTTTTCATACAATGTGATCTTAATTTTTACAATTTTTTTTGTTTTTATTCCCCTCCCAACTTAGTTTTTTTCATATCAACTTTTAAAACTTTAATGGTAACGCATAGATTTCAGTAACTTTTTTAATTAAATCACATTGGGTTCTATCTATGGATGGCCTCCCTCCTCATATCATATCACTGTTTTATTTTATATATATACATGTATAGTGTTACTATTTTCTTGTTATGCCTCGAAGCAAGCATAGATTAAAAATATCCTTCAAATAAAAAAAAACGGTAAATTGAGAATAATATACTAAAAATTTTGACTGGTTGATAACTAGTTTTGAACAACTATTAATATTTTAAAAGTTATGATGGAAGGGGATGTGCACGTAGATAAAAATAATACTACAATTCACCTTTCCTCCTGCCCTGTTATGATATTATATACCAGGTACCTATATATCTGTATATGTATATCAGGTTAATGGAATACGATATTCGGCTACGTAATTATAAATTATAATGACTACATAAAATAGGGGTCGCATAAAAAAAGATTAGATTTTAAGCTATATAGATTTTTTTTAATACACCCAAAAATGTTAAAAATGAAGTTATGGGACGCGAGTTGAAGCTTGTCATTTACTTTAACACGGCTGCTATGAAAAGATGGAAGGACAAATTAAAAATGATTGAATACTGATGGTTGTAAAGGAATTTTAATTTTGATATAGGCAATATTTTAAAAAAAAAGTGATTGTAATAAATTTCGACCAAACAAATTTATTTTCAGGATAATTTGTATAACTTTAGGGTATTCCGTATTAATATTTAGTTTTGACGTATACAATTTTTTCTATGAGTTAAAACTATTTTGTAGTGGTACAAGAAACCAAGTCCGTTTAATAAATGTATTTCTAAAGTAATTTAGAATCGTTTATACCAGATAAGTACGCAGAGATTGATTTTTTTGTTAGGACAATTATCATTTGTCAAAAACCCACAATTTAAATTTTATATATAAATTTATGATATATATGGAATACTGGGATAAATTTAGAAGTGCGTGGACATATCAAAACGGGTTTAATAATCTGCACTGCGCTACAGGGTTCTACACTCTGCCTTCTAGCGTGTGATATTTTACATTTTTATAGAATCGAGATTCATGACTCGAGTCAATACCTAATTTAGTTTCTGAATCAAACTTATAGTATCCATACAGTATTATAATATCATATTTTACTTGTCATCGATTTTAAATGAGATGTATTGTTGACTGTTGCCATTATTATGGCCACAAAATTTTTTACTATTAACTTATACAAAAGAATAATAGAATACTATTCATTTTAAAATCACTAGTTTTATCTAACTAGGGCGGATTGTTCAGGAATATTATAGGTGAAAGGGGGCGTAATATTTTATTGAAAATGAGGAGTGGAACTTTATAAGTAATGTATGTATCTATAAGTATGTACATACTTATATCACCTACTAATTATTACAATTTATACATTTCATTAAAAGAAAAAAAAAACAAATTTACAAAAATACCATTTTATTTTATCACTTCAACTTAACCGCGCCTATTGTCAAGGCCACAACTACATAGTTTTTTTTCGGGAGGGGTCGACAATAAAAATAAAGCCATGACATGATTTATCTTTAAAAAACTAAAAGATATTTGAAACATTTTGGGGCGGGGGGGGGGGGTAAAGTATGGGGTCTGCACCGTAGTAACGTGAACAAAAAATTTGGATTTTATAAAAACAAATAATTTTAATCGTTTAAATGTATCTATATGTATGTAAAGACTACCTATCTTATAGACAAACTAATGGCTGTACATCGATTTGACGCTACTTTTTATGCATCTTATAATAGTTTTACAGTTTTGAAATCCCAAAATTCAGGTAGCTGTACTTAGTGTTGTCTATCTACATAATATCGTCTGTTCAAAAAGAGAATATAAGAAGTAAACAAATAAAACAAATTGCGGGCAACCTACGTAGTGGCGGATAATGAGTATATTACCTGAATTTAAGTAGACTACTCTCGATGGTGTATCTTCTATTTTGTCGGAAATTACTTTTAGTGCGGATAGAAGGCTGTCGTCAGAATTATGTATTCCTGGCACTCCCAATACCGCGATGATGCACACAGAGACAAAAAATATCAACAGTCTAATATGTCTCTTGGATGTGATCATTTTACCGTAAAAATTTACTAAATTACGAATTATTTTTAAAAACCAATACAAGATCGTGTGTGGTCAGAAAACGAAAGGGAACGACGTTACAGGTGGTGGTTGCCAGGCAATGTGAACTGCGCACAAAACTAAGTAAATCAATAAGGTCTCCTTGTACCCCAGAGGGGCAGAAAGGGTGTTGGCGCCGTACGTCGGTCCAGTATAATATCTTCAACGAAGAACAGTCGGTTTAATATTATATGAATTAATTGAAGTCTTATAAGTTATACAACGCTATACTAAAAGATATTTTCATAAATTGTATATCTATTGTAAAAAACTCGGGGATGATCGTGTGTAGGATTGTTACCGTTTTGAAGGCGAGACTTAAAATAATTACAATTTAAATATTTAAATAAATAAAAAAATGGCCAAGGGTAAAGAGGCGGTTTACACGGTACACCATCTTGTAAATTCAGTTCTTTACGTCTCAAAACGAAGTACAAATAATACTGTCCATTTTACCGTTAATAATTCAAATTATACTTTCTTATCCTTTACATGGCTATTATAGACTATAGTTTCGGTTCTAGTACCTGATAAAATGTCACTCCTTAGTTATTTTAGATTCGATGCGGAGTTGAGGAGGTATTGTTTTCAAAATTAAGTTTTTTAAGAATAAAATTTGTAGTCTAGACCTTCAGTCTATATGAAATTTATTAACCTCCAGATAAATTTCGTATCGTAGTCAAAAATCATACTTTTAAATGCTAAAGTTGCAACTTTAAAATATGGGCACGTTATATCCAATTTTACGAAAAATAGCTCCACATTTTTATAGAAAAAATACTTTTAATATTTTCTTCCAGAAAGGGCAGACATTTAGTATGAAATCAAGTTTTTACGGCGCAGTTTTTTTTATTATGGTTTTAAAAAATAAACCAAGAGATTTATCTCTAAAATTTTTCTTAATTTTTACCATAAAAATATAGCACAGCACTACAGATATATTATGTATATATTTTTTCACGTTTAGCATCTTTGTATTCCCTATCAATCGAGGCCCAAACTGATAGACTTATTGAATTTAACATTTTTTGAGTTTACAGGTGGCCATTTCTCCTCACAAACAGTCGCCCGCCTGTAAGAACAAACCGCTAGTGGCCGAGATTCGAACCGGAGATCATGTGTCATTACACTGCTGCCTCATTTTACTCAGCATCATAGCACTACAGATGTACTGTGAAAAAAACGTCATTTTTGCTTTTTAGAGCTAGGGGAACGGGTGGAACTTTTTGTTATAATAGTAGTTTTAGAATTTAAGGCGAGAAAATTAAACTGATAGGAGATCTAGGGTGTACCTATATAATTCAAGAACCTACCTTCAAACTTAATATATATATAATTATTTATATTTCACATTTAATTCTTAAATCCTTGATCCCACTAATATGAGTTATTTGTACTTTGTAAAAATAAGATTGGAAATCAATTTTAAATGGGCGTTCACTAACAATATTTAATCTTAATCACTTTTACATACTAGGAAGTTATGGAGTAAAATGTTTTGTCATTAGTTAACACCGTTAAATATTGTTTATCTATATACAGCTTAGATTTAAAATTTTAAAAATTCAGTCAGTGGCAGTAGATGATATAGTAGTTAACATAATTTTTACTATAAATATTAAAATACAATGAAAGCCATTAATTTAATTGTATGGACCCTTGTTTTGATAAAGACAAGTCTACTAAATTTTTTAAAAATATTGTCTTCAGTTCAACGGTAGTATTTTTCTAGCATCATGACAATCCCAAATCCAATGAGGAGACACCACAGGTTTGTCAAGCTAAAAAATTTGTTATATTAAGAACATATACTTGTAACAGTACATTTTATAATTTGTATAATCAAAACATACCATTCGTTTATCTGAATTTGTTGAAATTATATAATCACAATTATCCTTTGAATTTAACTGCCTAAAAAAAAAATAGATTATGTAAAATCGATAATTTAAAAAATTGAATAAATAACTTTTACGATGAATTACCCGTCAAGTGCAATTATATAGCGTTGACATTTTTTTTTCTCTAATGGATCCAAATTTGGAGAAAACCAAAACGAGTAGTTAGTAAAAACGTTATCTAAATGTGGAAGCTGTACATTGCTATTGTCAGATAACACGTCGTTAGGAACAGGATTACTTGAGTCTGAATCAACATCAGTATCGGCATCATAAATATCATGATGTGGTGTTTTGATTTGTGATGTTGACGGAATATTACTAAACAATCATTTTAAATACATTAAAATTCGTCTCTTATTACTAGGATTTTATTTCAACTAATAAATAATGTTTATAGTTGCAAAATGTTATCTACTTTTCATTTTAACACAGTTTTTTTTGCTTTGTAAACCTTGTATATTTTGCAGTCATAGGTTATAATTAACACTAAAAAATTGTTATTTTTAATTATTAATTTTTATTACAAAAAATAAAAGATATTTCTCTGCCATAGCCAATATCATAAAAACTATAAGCACCTTTTAGCTATACTATTCCATTCGTCATCTTCTTCCACAGGATCATCTAGTTGAGTTATTTCATGTATTTCATCTTCGCTCTCAGGTTTATTTTGTTCTGTTTTGTCTAAAGCAAATCTGTTAAACAATTGTTTGGTATTTATCATTGTAGTTATCAGGTCATTGTGCAAGCACTACTAGAGTCCACGTCAAACCAACTACCAGTTCGTTTGATGAGGACTCTAATAACATTAGTAACACAACAATTGCACTATCATCTTTTTTACATCTATGGCAAAAAAAGCAAAACCACAAAGTTATTGTTAATACTAAATAATAACTAGTTGCTACTTTTCAGAATCTAATTGATCTCATGACTGATGGTAAAACACTTTTTTGCTGCAAGTTACAAACCTATCACCTTTGTGGCTTTTAGAAAATCATGCCTCTGTTCACTACCTCCTCTTCATATGTATACTAATTTCAATTTAGTACATATAATAATACAAAAAAATTACATTTTTATTATTTAAGTTAATTATTTTGAAGTACCTTCTCCAAGGATAGCGGCATCTATTAGAAAAACACTTATCTATCCAATCGCTTTTGACAATACGTCGACAACCTTGCGTTTTCGCTTCCCTGTACTTTGGTGTATTAGTAAATGCACATCTACAAGAATTAAACAATTAAAAAAAAACTAAAAATAAATTTTATAATTGGTACTTTACAGTAAATGAGTACAAGATGAATCCCAGTTAGCTTTGTAAGTAGCTCCCATCTCGGCGGCTTTATCTCGTACATTTCTACGATAAGGATTTTCATAACCACTCATTGCAAAAATTACATTTTCAAGTAATTTAATAAAAGGCTTTTGAGCAGGTAACAGATTTTGAATTAATTTAATTTTTTTTTTCGGTTTTTCAAATGCAGGTGAAGTAGCAGGTTGTTTTCTATTTGTGTCTGTAAATCCCATTTAATTATACAGTAAGATATTTAAGCGCATTTCTATTAAAATAATCATAACTTTAACCCTTTCAGGACAGTTAACGTTAATATCTGTCAAGACGTTAAACAGTATATATATATTGACTGTTCTGAAAGGGTTAATAACATAATACCTTTATTTTGAAGTTGCGATATTTCTTTATCATTAGTATTTTTATTATTCAAGTTATCATTTCTAGGATTATGTGGGTTTTTTTTTGAGGAAACAGAAGTAAGATTAGTTGTGAGTTTTTTGGCTGTATTAGAGTCTTTTGTCTCAAGTTTTTGTACAATTTCTGAGTTGTTATTCTTTTTTTTGTGAGATGCGAGTAAACGACTCACAGGAGATTCAGGCATCTTTACAATTGGTTTAACATCATTACGTTTGGCAAAAAGTCGCCCAGTGAACGTTATATCATCATTACAATCGTCATCACTTCTTAATGTAAATGATCCTAATTGAACATTCTTAGTTAAGATAGATTCTTTTAATGTTGTTTCCGATAATTTATCTTTGGAATGAAATGTTATAAATGAAAGTCCGAATTTCGCTTGTTTTATATATGATTGCGTACATACAATCTTTACCCTATCCCACGATTCTTTTGCAATTGGGGAGAGTTGATTCGCATTAAAGAAACGGACATTGTTCACATTTAATCCGTTTTTACAATCGTGCATAGTCATCAATGATGATGTAACTAATAAGAGCTAATAAAAAAAAAAAAATAATTCTCTATAAAACTATACAAATTTATTTTCTGCTTGGTAGCACAAAATAAGTATGGTAAAAATAAATATAGTTACATGAAATTCATCAGATGTAGATTTTCCAACAAATATCTCAACAAATGCCGAGTTGTCATTACCGACGTCAATAGAACTAATAGCTGATGGTTTAAGAAATTGTAAAATGATAGTAGCTTGTTTTTCACCAGATTTACAACGCCAAGTCTTATGTGAATCATTAACATTTAAAATATTTTCTCCTTTGTGGTTCTAAAATATTAAAGCATAAAACGCCATGATTTGAAAACAATTTTAAATATATTAGGAAAGAAAAAAACTTACTAGGTCTTCGCTACTTATACTTATAATACGATCAATAGGAATTGGTCCCATATTTTTTTTTTGTGTTTGAAATCATTTACAAATTATAAATTTTATGAAAACATAAATTCAAAAAGAAGTTATGATATGAACATAAAAAAGTGTTTTTCTATGGTTATCTAAGTGTTATCAGTTATAGCTTATCAAATGTTGTTGCTTATCTTTTCAACTAGATGCAAGTTAAAAACGACCATGTTATTATATTTTTCAAATATTATTTTGTCAACCGATAATCGATATTAGTATTTAACTATTGAATTGTTGCTGTTTTATATTTTAATAACGTTCTACACAGTATAATAATTGTAATAACCAAAAAGTGTCTATTTCTTTAAATCTTAAGTGAACATGGCGTATAATGATACAAATCTTACTATAACAACCGAATTCACTAGCGGCCTTCAAATTCTCTTTAACAATGTTAAGAAGCACGATATCGTGTTACCAGCAACAGAAAAACAATGGACACTCGGCTCACTTCTATTCTGGATAAAAAATAATTTGTTGGTTAACAAGGAAAAATGTGATTTATTCATGAAGGGTAATACCGTTAGACCGGGTATAATCGTAGCTATCAACGATCAAGACTGGGAACTATTGGGAAATTTAGATTATCAAATCAAGAACAATGATAACATTACATTTATTTCTACATTACATGGAGGTTAAAAATGTTAAATAAAAACTAATTATGTAAATCATTTTATTTTAAATTTATTTACTCATTTAATATTTTGTAAAAAATGTAAAGATGTAATGCCTATAACATTTATGTAATGTGCTTAAACATGCAAGTCTTTACAAATAAAAATAAATTATTAGAAAGTCAATTATTGATTAAACGAAAAATTAACATATTTAGGTAGAGGTTTTGAGTTTTGCTAATTCATTCTCAAATAAATCTGTTGTTTGTGAATCCTTGAACTTGAACAATGCAGTTTGCGGTTTAGAATTTTTAGTAGGATCTAAGACACAAATTAATTGAACGTTTTTTGGGTTACGCTTTGTGAAATTTACTGTATCATTTAATAACGTATTGGCCATAATAGTTCCCAGCGCACTATCATTTCTCATTATTAACTGAATTTTTTTATCATCAACTCGTTTTAAATATAGCTGACCAACTCCATGTTCTTCATATTTTCCATTCTTAAAAAGATATAATTTACTTTTAGATTCAAAAATAGCATCGTTTTCTTTGATTGGTGTAAAACTGACAACCGGTGGTTGATCTTCGTCTTCTTCATTTTCTTCTTTTGACTGTAAGGTTTCTGTAGGATTCTTAGGTAAATCTGTAGTTGATGCTAATAAAGGTGGTTTGGCTCCAAAATTAAAGAATGGTTTACCATCATTTTTTTCCATTGGATTAAATGAAAATGAAGAAGTATTTGATCCGAAATTAAATGAAGGTATTGAGCTTAATTTTATTTCAGAAGACTTTTGTAAAGGTGAAGTTTTTATGTCACTAGACTCCGATTCTTTATTAGCAGAAGGTGTTCCAAAAATCTGTGGATTAAATTTGAAATTGCTATTTGTTTTAAATCCATTAAATGCTGGTGGTTTTGGAATTTCATTTTTTCCATCTAAAGACTCGGTTTGCGCTGAAGGATTGGATTTTTCTTCTTCTTTTGATTCATCTCGTTTCTTCTCTACTGGTATATTACTCTCTTTTTCCAATCCTTCGGCTGAACTAGATGCAGAAGTTACTGGGCAAGAATTGCTAAACTTAAAAGATATTCCTTTGTTTTCAGTATTATTATTTGGGTTTAAAAATGTAGAGGGCTTATCTTGAATACTGGAAATATTTTTTTTAACTTCTTCAGCGTTTTTATTGATTTTAATTGTATTTTCTGTTGAAGAAACTTGAGGTGATTCTGAAATTTAAATATAATAAAATATAAATTAAATGTATTTATACAAAAGTTTACTTCTTTTTGTTGTACATTTTATTAGAATAAGAAATATATGATTGTAAAAAACAAAAAAAGTTGTCCCATAGATTTTATATTTTAAGTTTTAAGAGAATATTACTCTTTTGTATAATTATTATTAATTTGGAAAAACATAAGGCAGTCTGTCAACAGAAGTATTGTAGCCAGTTATTTTTACATATAAACAATACTCAGTTATACAATATAATTTTTAAGCTTATTGTTATAAATTGGTAGTAGGTAAAAGTTTGTAATTTTAACATGGGTCAAAATCTGTTATGTTTGTGATGTAACATGGTTATAACTTGTTTTCCTCAATTTTATACAGTTGTGAGTTATCACGACTGAATAAAACAATTATAATACAACTACTGTACTTGTTTTCATAAGGAAATAATAGTTTAACTATAACTTATTTTTTAGTTTAATAATATTATAATTTATTATATTGTCTCATGATAATAATATTGAATTGTGATGGTTATACGGATTCGTATCTATAATCATATCTATGATTCAATGTTTTTCGTAGAGCAAAGAAAATAGACGTTTTTTATTATCAATGCAAATTTAAAATGTTGGATTGAAATTAAAGAAAATAAATTACAGTTGTTCAATATTACTGTATAAATTAACCTGTTTATTAATTAGCGCTCACACGGCACACCAAAGATGTTTATACCGCCTTTACCGAGAAATAACGCTCTGCATTTAAATGCGTGACTTGAGCCTGGTGTAACTTTTGATATTCTCCAGTTAATAAATTATCAACATAATTAGGAAAAGGAAAAAAAAACAAATTTTCTGAAGGCAAGATAGGAAGCGGGTAAACACCACAGTACCGCCAATGAATTTTTAAAGGGTGACTTCTTAGAAGTTAAATAGTCGTGAATAAACATTAAACTGTATTACAAACCTTTCGAAGATGATATTGAAGAATCCGATACATTTGTTTTGCAACCGCTAAAAGCAATAAACTTGCTTATTTGTTTTTCATAATCTTTTAGAGTAGGTGTTAAGACACAGTATGGATTTTTTTGAACAGCGTTGGTAATGAACTTGACAAATGCTTCATTAAGTTTCATCACTTTCACTGGGTCTACAAGCGTTTGATTTGAACTCTTGGTATTATTACTTTCTGGCAATTTTAAACTACTAGAAGTCGTCATTGAATTAGTAGTAGATGCAAATGGATGATTCCCACTTGAACTAGGAGCAGTAGATGTTTCGTTGCATTTAGACAGAAAGGAAAATGCTTGTTTAGTGTTACTGCTTCCACTTCCAAACCCGGCAAAACCAGAAAATATTGATTTGGGTTCTCCATTATCATCCCGTTGCAAAGTTCTTTTTGCTTTTTTTAAGACCCTATTTTTTAATATAGATTCATCTGCTACTTGGAATGTTCCAACTTCAATTTTTTCTTCTTCATCGTCCCAATTGTCTTTAGTGAGTTCAGTGGCCGCTCGGCGTTTGCTCATGATACCACGAAAAAGAAACCTTAAAAATATTTGTGGTTAATTAATAATAAGAAAATAAGGAAGAAATGCGCATTACTAAGCATCTTTCTACCCTCCCCTCTTGTAGTATCTTTTTACACTGATTAGAAACGTGAATTCAGAAGTCAGCAGACTGTTATTACAGTAATCTGAGTGCGATCAAAGGGTAACTATGTTGTGTGTTTCAATGGCATCGCTGTTCGCCACAGCTTGCTTTAAATGAATAGTGACGTGAACAGCATAGGTGTCTCGCGCAACAATAATTCTCAAAGTTCAAGTAGTCCACCAATTTCTGACTTAAGATTCATTATTAGCATAAACAACACTATTTCAAGAAGAAAAAAAATGCCAAATAAAATGTATTTATACCGAAAATATAAATGTAAATAATTTTGTGAACATATAGAAAAATAAATGACAAAGTTTTAAGATATCTGATATTTAACTAGAAAATACTAAATATGTGTTGGAAATTATTAAAAAAGAACAATTTACTGGATTTTAAAGTTACGTTTTATAAGAAAACGGTTATTCTTCAGTGAAAGTAAAAAACAAACTATCTACAAACAAACTATTTTTGAATACTCACGTATATATTAAAAAATAATAATAATTTTAATGAAGTTTGAAAGCTATCGCTTAGAAGAACTCGCTATTAAGAAGAAAAAACATCAACATAGACTTCCACACTTTTCAGTTGCATTCAATAATTTTTTTTAATAATAATTGAAATATAAGGTATATTTGCCAAAACTAGAGTCTGTAAAGAGTATGCTTTGAGATAAGCAGGGAAATACATTATCTTATTATTTGTTATAATTAATACAAATTGCTCACACTGGAATTGTATAATGTCAAAGACATTCTAAAAGCCCGGCAAAATTAAGTTAAACACTCCGTAGTTTCATAAAAAAAATTAATGCAAAGTCCATATTATATTATTTTAAGTCAAGTCATGCATTGAATAAATGTATTTAATCAATGGGTCAAGTCTAAAACGTTTATTTTCACAGAGCATGCATATTTGTTATAATTTGTAAGTATCATTTCTTATGAATTATGATTTCATTTTCTTTGATACAGTTGAAGTTTTTAAATTATGTTAGCGTATTAAAATATACGGCTGAAAATAAAATTACTAAAATACTCTCAGTATATATCTTAAATAAAATCTACTTACTTTCCAATGATTAACAGACTTTATAAGAACACAAACAATAGGGAGGAGGCAGGGGCTATAGCAAAAAATAAATATAATGTCTGTTTGTGATATATATATATATATATGTATTATTAATACATTTGTAATATTTATAAAAAAAATAACCGATAAGTGTCGTATGTTGGTCCGCCCTGCAACTTTAAGGTTATCTCCAATTATATTATTACAATTATTTCATCATGTATTACTTATGCTAATTACTACACAATAATATTCATAAAACGAGACTTTATTTACGTAGTAATGTGTAACAAGCAACTAGAAAATGTTTAATATATTAATCATTATTAATAATAATACTGACTACTGTACATAATTGGCGCAAAAGGAAGTTCGAAAGGGTGCTAAAGCTCTAAAACTCCTTAAAGCTCTCACCTCTCGAGATAAATTAGTTCTCCTTTTTTTTTGTTAGCAATGTTACCTATTGGCTATTAACCTACTTAATATACTGTATAAAAATTATTAACTTCTTAGCATTTTATACTTCTATAGACTGTTATAATAGCTGTTAGTTATGAACTACAATTATTATTACATACATGTATACAGTAGTCAGTGTACCTACTAGGGTCTGGGCAGAACTAGGTAGGACGGCCCGCAAAGACGAAGGTATTGTTTAATTAAACGTTTTATCGTTGGTACTTGGTGATGTGGATTTATACCAATTTGTAAAGACATATTTTAAAGAATAGGTATCCTACATTGATACCCATTAGTAGAAAGAAAAATGTAAAATCCTTTATACTTCGCTAAGTAAAACATTATTAATTTTTTGGATATATTTGTCGAACAATAAAAAAACCCAACAATTATTATCGGTCGACTAGCTGGAAGTATTTATCTAACTTTTATAGGTAATTTGTGATTTTTTAATATGTTATATGGCGGCATTAAACTTTAAAATTACCCATTGGCAAGACAAACCCGGGTTTAATTTAAGTTTCTTAAATTATAGGTAGACAAAACTTTAAAATTGGGTAGAACCAAGTTTGATTAGGTCACTACTCACTTCATACATCGTAGCGCTATCCCTGAAAATTATTGGTTATTTTATATCTATAATAAAATATTAAAAAACACCCATTACAAAAAAAAGTTATGTTTTTCTACTGAAAAAGTACTACTGTACACAAACACTTTGGTAGCAATACTATGAATTATATGATCACCAGCGCTCGCAACAGACTGAAGCAACATAACTCAGTCTGTTGTGGCTTGTGGGCGTTGATGATCGCAAAATACGTGAGTATTACTACTGGAAAGTGTATTCATTTTTGTGGTTGTTTTTATATTTTATTAGCTAACTATAACCACAAGTTTTGCTCATGTTTTTTTTACATAATTCAAATTTTTTTTTTTTTTTAGTTTACCGATACAAATATGTAATACAAACGGCAATAAGACAAACATATGTTTTTGTTTAAATAATTGTTCTCGTACCTACTAACATTTATCTTTATTTTTTGACTTAGTAAATATTCGTGAATTCGTATTGGTAGTAATTTGATCGTAATTAGCTATTAAATAAAATATATACTTTGAAAAAAATAAAATATTCATTTATGTACTAAACATTAGCTTTTTAACACGTAGGCACAACAATATCGGCATATTTCCTCGCGATAATTTGTTATCAAGTACTAAATCTTATTTTAATTATTAAAATTAACACTTTCTTGTCCTTAAACCCTATACGAGTGTTTGACATTTAAAATCCTGAATTATTTAAGGATTTGTGTCAAATATATTATTTGGATAATTTTGCTAATTTTGCTGCTCCTGCGTTGTGCGCAGCTACATACGTCGTTGAATCTTCGGTTAATTACTATTGCGCCATAAAATGACATATATACAGGGTGATTCATTAAGGATAAGACACTCATTTTCTCGGAATCCAAGATTTTTTGGTACACATTGTACTATATTTTTCAATATTTTGAAAATTTTTATCATCAATCCTTGAAGACCAAAAAGAGAGATTTTTAGTTTTTTTTAAATGGCAACATATGTTTTTAACTACATAAATTTGTAGACAAAAAATAAAAAAATATTTTAGTGTTTGAATTTTGAATTTTCATTTATTTGTTCATTTGTTATGACTTTATAAAGATTGGATTTTTTGACTGTATTTCTTAATATTTTCAATCGTTACTACAAAGACGAGTAGTTTTATTACACGCATAAAAATAATTTGATAAAGTGGGTTTGTAAAACCAATATGTGTACCTGTGTTGGAAATTGGAATAGGTGGTAATCTGTAGAAAAGAATCGTTGGTCTATCATTATTTCAAAGTCTTTTATGCCAGTGACTTTTTTTTTGTTAGAGTGTTATCGCCAAATGGACAACGCGAACATAAATATGAACTTAATGTGCTACCGGTTTTGGAAAACCGAAGAAACATGATAATTATTAATAGAAAATGTAGTATCTTAACAAAGTCATAGCTAATGAACAAATAAATAAAAATTCAAAATTTCAACGCTAAAATATTTTTTTATTTTTTGTCTACAAATTTATGTAGTTAAAAACATATGTTGCCATTTAAAAAAAACTAAAAATCCCCCTTTTTGGCCTTCAAGGATTGATGATAAAAATTTTCAAAATATTGAAAAGTATAGTACAATGTGTATCAAAAAAATCTTTGGAAAAAAATATTGTTCGAAATATTAATATATTCTGAGAAAATGAGTGTCTTATCCTTCATGAATCACCCTGTATATATATTATTAATATTAATGAAAATACTGATAACGCTATAATCTTGTTTACACATTTTTATATAAAAAAAAAAAATAGTTCGTTAATCGTTATATATTAAGTAACACTATAATAATATACTATTATATTTATTATTCATTAATTATTATTATTTATTTACCAAAACTCATATACAGGTGTATGACAATACTTGTGTGTTATTGTTTTAATCTGCTGTTGTTTTTTAAATCGTAGGGGACGGTGAATTATTATAATCAAATATAATAATGTAACAAGAGAAACCATATTTTTTGGGGTTGATGTTGGTGTATCAACAATAGTCAAGCACAAGTTTGGAATTTCGTTTGAAATTCTTTATCATGGTTTTCGAAAGTCTAGTGGTCGATGTACTCAACAGGTTCATTGGAGAATATGTTGAAAATTTGGATACCTCCCAGTTAAATATTGGAATTTGGGGCGGTAGGTGAAATACGTTAAATTTATGTACTAAATTAAAAGTTTAAAACGTAAAAATATAATAAATTCTATCATAGTGGAGTAGTAAAATAATTTTACAAGTTGCTTCATTAATATATTGGTTTTATTATTAATTTGTAATTAAATAGAACATATTAGAAAACTTCCAAATTTTAATGATAAAGTGTAAAAAAAATAAAGATTAGTAAAAAATAGCTTACAAATAATAGCAAGTAAACCTGTTATAACTTGTATGTAAACAAATTCGCTCACAAAAAAATTGGTCTGTAGACAAAACCAACGATACACCTAAATACCAAGTTCAAAATACTCCATATGCTAGAAGTAGGTATATCAAAATGGCTGATGTGTAGCAGGCAGGAAAATAATATTTTTCCTTTATGTCCCCTATTTTTCTTCTATATCTCATGATGTACACCTATTAAAAGTATTAAACTATATGTTCATTTTTTCAGAAAACAAAAATTATATCATAAAATGTTATCCGTTTATTAATAATGAGAAAACAAGAAATTTGTTATTAACTAAATAATGTTCTAATTTTGTAGTTTATCATTCTTAGCAAGTGGAAAATAATGATTTTTTTAAAAATTAACTAGTATGATAATAACTTTTTTACAGAAGGTTAGTAAAATTTATTTTAGAAAAGTGGTTTACTTTTTTTTTTAAGGGGAAAACCAATTACTATATAAAACAAACTAATAATTAAAATAATAATATAAGGTTACTTTTAATATTTATTTTTCTAAATTATAGTTTTTATTTTTATATAGTTATAAATTTACTATTTGAAATTTGTGCACTCTACAAAATCAAAAGTTATAACTACTACTAATAAAGTTAAATATTAAATATAATAATATGAGATTATTTTGACGTAGATATGTCTTATGGCTGGGTTTTATTCTGAAAATTTGTCTGCGACATGTTAGTGTCACAGTGCTGACGTCATTATCATTATGTCATTAAGTAGTTTTAAAATATCTGACCGTAATCTGGCAACATTTATTATAAATATTTAACATTTCTCATAAATCAATTTCCATGGTTATGTGCGTGCAAGTAAGTGCCTACCTAACAAATTAATTTGACTATCCTTATATATCCTTACATCCTATTATCTCTAATATTAAGTATGTATACAACTACTAAAAAACGTTTGGCCAGAACAAATAATTAAGAATATACTATCATCATATATCACAAGGAGATTATAGATGCAAAATAATTATATAATTATATATCAGGATACTTAAAACTTTTTTTTTTTTAAATTTATTTTTTCATTGTTGATTATTCAATTAGATATCTGCACAGTTGATTTAATAGCTACTGCTACTACCTTAAGATTTAGATAACAAAACCTTGTTTTTAATTAGTTGAACATTTTAAAATTTGATTTCAGGAGATGTTGTTTTACGAGATTTAAAACTAAAAGAAACTTGTTTGGACGGCCTTGATTTACCAGTTAGAACTATTTATGGACATCTGGGTAAATTTATATTAAAAAAATTGTGTTAAAGTACCTGTAAACTATTTAACTGAGTTGGGCATTTAAAAAACGGCGTAACACATAAAACTCAGATTTTAAACTAACCATAAATAACTTAATTACTCCAGAAATTAAACTTATTTTCCAATTTCACCTATTTATTAATTTATTTTTAGGATATTTTTTACTATTTTACTTTTTTGCAAAAGGTAAAAAAAAAATTTTTTAGGTAATAGAAGTTTTTAAATTTAATTATTAATAATTTAAGTTAGCAGACAACCAGTGGCTCATCTGAAGGAGTTGGAGGGTCATATCCCAAAAATATAGATTTTGCAAATGATACATAACACTGTATACAAGTATTGAGTTTGACAAAAAGTCATTTTTTGTAATAACAATAACTTAGAATTACTGATTTTATTATATTTTAGGAAAATTGGTTTTAAAAATCCCATGGACAAATCTGTATAATGGAGCTGTTGAAGCTACGATTGAAAGTCTTTTTTTGCTTGTTGTTCCAACACAAGATGTTACATACGTTGCAGAGAAAGAAGAAAAAAATATCCAGACTATGAAACAAAATGAAATTTTAAGAATTGAAAATTCAAAACTTTTGGATCAGCAAACTAATAGTATGTTAAGTTATAATATATAATATGATTATAATAACAATGATACTGAATTAAAGCAAAAAGTACTATTTTTTTAAATCAATTTTACAATAATTTGGTGTAAACATATTATTCTCTATTAATTACTCCCACTTAATACAAAGTATTTACTAAATATTATTAGCTAATTTTCAATAGAATAAAGAATATGATATAAGATCAATCCATGTTGCCATTATTTAGTTGCATTTTCGAAATTTAAAATTGGTTTTTTGAACTTTTGAAAATCTGGATTTTCCGATCACTAGTCGTAGTTATACTGTGTGTAATGAATGCTAAACGTTGTCTAAGTAATGACAACATGGATGGATCCCAAAATGATCAAACTATCTAATAATAGATACAACTTATTAGATTTTTTTAAAGAATTTTTGTTTGTTTGTTTAAATATTATAAAACATATTGTACCACCATAATTCATAATAAACTAAATAATAAATTAATAAATACTAGTTATACTATTTTAAAGAAACATGACATTGTTGAACTATGCTAAATATAATATATTGTTAAGAACAATAGTTTTAATTTTGTGTTTTTTGTTTATTTAGAATTGGAACACGATAAAATAAAAGATTCATTTGTAGAGAAACTTGCAACTCAAATTATTCGAAATGTCCAAGTCAACATAAAATCTATTCATATAAGATATGAAGATAAAGTAACTTTTCCAAATAACCCTTTTTCATTTGGCTGTACACTTCATGATTTAATATCTTATTCGACTGATTCAAACTGGAATAGTTTAATTGAGAAGGGTCAAGATCCGCTTGGAATGATTTACAAGGTAACACAATTAAATTAAATGTAATAAATAAATTAATAATTACATGGTGCTACAGTGGCTCTGAACTTTTCAAGTGACCTAGTGCAGGTGTAAGTCTGTTCAAATCCAATATAAAACCATGTTTGAAAATTTTTTTACACCTGATATCAGTACTCATAAGACTGACGGTTGCTCACGGTAAATTGAAAATTTAAGGGTGCAAATATTTTTTAAACACTGTTATATGTTGAACAATGGGCTTGGACCAGAACTACAACCTGCACTAAGTCACTTGAAAACTTAATTCAATTTTTAAAAAAAATTTTTTAGCACCGTATAATAATCATACAAAAATATAAAATATTATCTATATTTATTCTTTATGGAAAAGAAAGACAATAAAGTATTGGTACTTATAATGTATAACTAAATAGCATATATTTTAAGGTTTTAACCCCTAATTTGTCTACTCTGATTTTACTACAAATTTCAAACTAACTTTACAATTAAAAAATATTAAAAATAATCCTACTATTAAGATTTTTATACTTAGTATAGAAAATTTGACGTAAAAGACGTGATTTAATCTCAAAAAGTTATAGTTTAGTGTTTACTATTAGCATGTGTATTGTAAAAATTTTAAAATTGTCAATTTTTATTTTTTAGATTATATTAATGGAAGGTTATGCTTTGTATTGGAACTCGAATGGTCATTTATTTACAGATCAACCAAGGGAATCTTTTAAGAACTCTTTTAATGATGGGATACCAAAAAAAGACATTCTTCCTGATGGCTATGAATATTGTGAGTTTTCGATAGTTAAATTTTGGTTAGATACATATATTATATCTAGTAATGTATAATATATACTTACATTACTAATAAATATTTTTTTTACGGTTTTTACAGTGTTAGGTCCAATTAATGCCAAAGCTAAAATGCAAATAAACCCAAAGCCAGAATTAGATGGCAGTGATTTTACAATACCTAAATATTCTATCGGTATTGATATGGATAATTTAAATTTGAGTATGTCTGTTTTAATTAAATATAAATTATTACATTTATTTATGTATAGCTTATAAAATAAAACAGTTAGATAGTTTTAAAATATTTGTTTTATATTACTTATAAGGTCTGTAAAGAATACTCCAATCAATATTTGGGTTATTGTATAATATTCATGAATTATTATCAATTTATACCATTTTTGTTCTAGGAATAAGTAAAACACAATATCAAGATTTAATTATGGCTGCAGAGTCATTAGATCGTTTGACTAAAGCCATACCGTGTAGGAAATATAGGCCTTTATTAAAAGAGTATAAAGGACATTACAAAGAATGGTATACGTCATTATAATGTATATATGTGAATTATCATAATATTGGTTTATACTTTACAAATAGGTGGATGTTTGCTTATACGTGTGTTGTAGAAAAGGATATCAGAAGAATTAAAAGGAATTGGGACTGGAATAATATTTCTACTCATAGAAAAGCAATAAAAGAGTATGCTGTTTATTATAAACAAAAACTAGAATCAAAAAAAACTTCTGTTACAACATTAAAAGCACTGGAGGAGTTCGAATGTAAATTGGATGTAATGAACATCATAGTGACGAGGCAAAGAGTTGAAAATGAAGTAATTTCAAACATTTTTACATATTGTCAAGCACCAGCCCAATTTATGGCTTCTATGCATATCATCTAAGGAGGTTTTATTTTTACAATGATGTGTTTTTTTTACCCAATAAAGGCTTTATATTAATTTTATTTAAAGATATTTATTAATAAAAAATCAATTTTTTAAATGTTGAATTAGATTAATTAAATGTTAATTATTAAATAGGTTGAAAGAGAAGGTAAAATACTAGAGGAAATGAAAAAAGTTGAATCAAGACGCGGTTGGTTTAGCTATTGGCGAGCAACAGATAGTGATAAAGAAGAAAAGGAAAAAGATATTAGTAATTTGTAATAATAAACTTTATACTTAATATTGTTTCTAACATGTTCATAATTGTATTTCAGTTCGACAATTCGAAGAAGCTATGAACACAACTGAAAAAGAAAAACTGTACAAAGCGATTGGCTATCAAGAAAGCTCAGCAGCCACAAACTATCCAGAAACATTTGTTGATACAAAATTTCTCTTTTGTTTGCACACATTAGAAATATCAGTCTATGACGAAGAATTTACTTCTGTACAAAAAGCCTTGTCAATTAATTTTAAGGGGTTTGTCTTGGATGTTCAAAGAAGAGTAGCTGCTAATGCTATAAAGTAACTATTATTATTTCTTTAAAAAATATTTGTTTATACTTTTATGTTATAATTCTTATTAATATGTTTCTAGGATCGAAGCTAGTGGTGAAACATTGTCAGTATTTGGCCTTCCACAATCAAATAAAATTCCCAAAATTATTTCATCAAAAGCATTTGATCAGTATAAAAGTGCAAAAGACTTGATATCTTTCAAAGATGGTGATTCTTTTGACAGACAAATGTACTTGTTTAGTTTCCTCTTCGAGACGAACCCTATCAATAAATCATGTGATAGTAGAGTACAATTATCATTTAAACCGCTAAAAATAATATATGATGCACAAACTATAATCAAAATAATAAATATATTCGCGATACAACAATCAAGTGTTAAAACCCAGTAAGTAAAAATTTCTGTTTCAGATGCAAACACAGAAATTGTATTTTTGTTTTAATTGTGTTATGTGTTTTAAGTTATGTTTCCATCATTTATATAATTACAAATGTAATTAATGAAAATATAATATAGTAACTAAACAGAGTATAGTGTTCTATATTAAACCTTTTTTTTTAAGACTACAAGAAGCAGCTGGATTTAAATTTGCTGAATTAAAAAAAAAATCTGCATTGGGTATGCAACATATTATTGAACAACACAAGAGACTTGAATTAAAAATTGACATGATGTCGTCTTATATAATTATACCCCACGGAGGGTTTTATAAAAAGTGAGAATACATATATTATTTAATTCTTAAATTATTCAATTCCCTTGATTGAAATTTGTGTGTTTATTTATGTAGAGATCAGTCTGTTCTAGTTTTTAATTTAGGAAGTTTAAAAATAAAATCAAAACCACAAAATTTAGAGGATTTGAGTATTAAGTCAATGCATAATAAAGGTGCTACCCAAACTGAAGTTTTTCAAGAAACTGTTAGTCGTAGTTATGATCGCTTCTATATTGAATTAGAAAATGCACAAGTAATATATAAACTGAAAATATTATTTTTATACCTCTTTCACAATAAATAATACATTTTATTTGACATATTCTTTTTAGATTTTAATTGCCAATAAGGGGGAAAATTGGAAAAAAGGATTAAACGAGTCCTATCAAAATGAACTTTATATTCTAAAACCAACTAATTTGTTAATTGAAGTAGAAAAGTGTCTAATAACCGATGATCCTCGATTGCCTTTACTTAAAGTGACCGGAGAACTTCCAAATATCGATATTAAAGTAGCAGGTAATTGTAATATTTTGAAAAAAAAAAAAAAAATTTATCACACAGTTTAAGTACTTGTATAGCTTATCATTACCGTAGCAGGTAAATGTGATATTTTAAAAATAATAAATTTGTTTTTATCACAAACAGTTAAAGTACTTTTTAAAATTTTATTTACATTTTGTATTGAGAAAAATGTTAATTTTGCAATCAAATTATGTTATAGAAAACCGTGTATTAGATGCTATATCGGTGTTTTTGAGTGTTCCGTTACCACAAAGAAAGAAAGAACCAAAAGATTATTCAGATGTAAGTATATAGTTCATTTTTAAGTTTTAATAGACATTATTTTATTTTCTTGCAGTAGGCAATTGTAATGTTTTGTAGTTTTACACATTTAACTTAAATTTATATTCATATGAATCACATGATATTATATTAGAATATTTGTTACCTATAATATTATATTGTAATATTTGTTATTTGTAGTATTGTGTTATTTGTTGTAATTGTTTCCTCATAATTACAGGATTTCGATTTACTCGGTTCAGCTATGTCGTTGCGTCAAAAAATTGATTCTTTTAATATGTCTAAAAATTTGACAAATCAAAGAAAGGATTCAGAAAAAGCTTCAGACATAAATGTTCAATTTATGTCATTAGATGTAAAATTGATTCTTAAACGTAAGAAAAAAGATATTGTTAAACTCAAACTTTAACGTGTATAATTGTATGTATATTTGTGTGTTGAAGGATTGTCAATAACAGTATTGTCATGCGACTACAAAGGTTCATGGCTAAGCCCGCTGTTAGATTTCAATTTACTCACATTAGAACTTTCGCTGACACAACAAACATTTAATACAAATATTTCTCTGAAACTGGGAAGGTTATATCTTGCGCAATACCACAAAGACACTATTATTCCCTTAGTTGACACACCAGATGAAGACGAAAAACAATACCTTTTACTAATCATGTATACTTTGGTGAGTAAATGATTTTGAGAAAATTCAAGTTTTACCTTTTAGAATTTTTAATCTAAAGTAAAATCAATTAATTTATTTGTAGGTGGACAAAAACACACCAGAATTTCATACTACCTATGGTAGTGTGATGCAAAAGCTTGAACTAAATTTTACTAAACTATTAGCAACGGCTAACAGAGAAGCTTTATTAAATCTTATAGATTGGTCGACTAATGTTAGTAATAATATAAAAAACATGCAAAAACAATATGATTATCTTATTGAACCTAAAATAGCTAAACAATTGTCTAAAAAAGATAAGCTAAAGAAAATGCCATTAGTTTCCACAGCCTTGTCAACTATACTAGAGGAATCAGCGTCTAGTAAAGTTCAACAAAGTATGTTTTTTTGTGTCTGAAAATGTACCACCTTGAACATATTTAAACATTTTTCTTATTTTTATCTGGAAAATTGTTTATGGTTTTTAGTGAGCAAAAGAACAGTTGAAAATAACAGTATAAAAGATATGATGTTAGTAGCACAGATTGGTGAAATTCAATTAATAATTGTGACAGAGACTGAAGATTTGGCTCACATGTTTGTTACTAAGCTTGAATCCTCCGTCATAATGAATAAATCGCATATTCAAGTTGATGCTAAGTTGCAAAATATTAGTGTAACAGACTCATCACCTAATACTGTTTATAAACATGTAAGTACATTCATTTAGTTTTGAAATCGGTTGATACTATCTTTACTAAATTAATATAAAACATTTGTATAACAATTTTACTCATATCTAGTACTAATCCCATTTATTTTTTTATCTTTTATAAATTTAAATTTAAATTATTAAAGAGGAATGAAATTGATGTGTTTTCAAAGTATATGAATATTTAATGTTTAGATCATTCATGTAGCTGAAGATGACGATGCTTTAAAATTCCAAATGATTATGTATAAAGAACAATATTTAGTGGATTATGATTCTCCAGAAATTTACATGTCCATAACTTCTGGCTGTATAAAATGTGTTTTCTTAAATGATTTTGTGACTAAAGTATTAGTAAGTTTCATTGATTTACTATTATTAGTTATTTTGGTCATGGGCACAACTAAGGTAAAATGTTTAGAAATGCTACCTTCCTCTTAGTTGAAAATAAACCTTCACAGCAATTAATAATACTTAAATTAGTTTGTAAGAGTTTAGATAGACATAATAGTTGATATATTTTTTTAATTTTCATAATTTTAATCAGCTTATAAACAATTTATTAACACACTAATTTATTTTTGCTTTCAAACAATATATTTTCATTTCATTCATACCCAGCGTAATGTGTAGAATTATTTGTAAAGTAGTAAAACTGCTAATATTTTTATGTAAGCAATTATAAATTAACAAAGTTACCTTATAGTGATTAATATACACCATCGTCAATATCAAGATTAAAAAATGATCTACTGATACTGTACATTTTAAACGGTTTTATCTAAATTAACACAATAATTGAACATGATTTCAATGATCATGATGACTTTAATTTTTAATTTAGTGCTAGTAAATAAACCATACTGATTAAATTTACTTGGTTGTTAACATTTTTGAATCTAAATAAAACATTGGCGCATTGTACTTCATTATTAAGCAAATCATCTTACACATGATATTAGATGAAATATTTACTTGTAACTGAGATTTGAAGATTAATTTATCCTTTGAAAATTATTTGATTTTTTTTCTAAAAACTGTTAGGTTCGGTTTGAGTTTAAAAATAATAATTCAAAGTTTTATTTGGTATAGAATTATTGAAATATGTTTTCTTTGAGTTTGGTTTGAATTCCAAAATTGGGATTTGTTACAATTACTGTATAATTTAAAAATGTATAATTTTTTGTTGTTAAATAGGATTTTATTAATCATTTTAAATCTAGTAAAATGGCTATTTATGAAGCTAGTGCTGCTGCTGTGGCTACTGCCAAAATGAATCTTAAATCTGTCACTCGTATTGCTCTTAATATTAATTTAAAGGTAATTTTTATTTCAATAAATAAATAATTTTTTTTCTTCTGGAAATGTATGTTTTTATTTTATTTTAGGCTCCAGTTTTAATTGTGCCACAAAATTCAAACACTCTGGAAGCTTTGTGTTTAGATTTAGGATATTTATCCATTAAAAATTCTTTCATAATGGTTCATATTGGATCTGACCATATACCAGCAATAATAGATCAATTAAATCTAAATTTAAAAGATTTGAAAATTTCCAGGTTAGTTTTTAGGGTTGTTTCTAGGTCTTTGTGATCAATTATATTTTTTATTATAATTGTAATTAATGTTGTTTATGGATTTTAATTTTTAGAGTAAAACTCAATGAGGGTATAAAGTTTTTTGTATTCGACTGTTTGTTATTACAACCGATTACGTTTTCTCTTATTGTAAAAAGAAATCTTTCATCTGCTTGGTATACTGAACATCCAGATTTTGATATCGTAGTTAAATTTGATTCTATCAAAGTATGCAATTTCAAATTTTGTTAATTAACTTTTATAAACTAATTTTTTATTACAATTTTAGGTTACAGTAAGCCATGAAGATTATATAGATGTGTTAAAAGTTTTAAATGAGAATTTAAATAAAGGAAAGAACGATCAAGCTATCTCAGCTATCGAACCTAATCTTAATATTTCACTAAAAAATCCTAATGGTATGTTAATATGAATTTTATAAATTCTTTAGTGAATGGTATAATTAAAAATAAAAATTTTGTATTTAACTGTTACTAAAATGCTGATTTAGACATTTTTATGTCTACTTACATTCTATATAAGATGTATGGCTTTATATGGTTTTTACTTATCAATATCTTTTAAATAGAAGCTAAAGTGTTGGAGGATATAGAACAAAAAGCAACTGTTCAAGAAGTCAGAACTTTAGCTAAATTTCATTTTACAGTGAAAAATATTATTTTAACACTATTTAAAGAAGGTCCAGATAAGGTATAGGCTTTTATATAAATTTGTATTATACATATGTAGATTAAATAATATGTTTTCTATTCATTTTAATACTTTTATTTTGTCATTTTCTGCAGAATGGCTCTCAAATAAAAGACAACAGTCTGGGTCAGTTTATGTTTTCCTCTTTAACTGTAAGCGGTTTTATGCAAACTGACCTATCATTCAGTCTTTCGTTGTACTTGTTGGATGTAATACTAGATGATACTCGAATGACAAAGGCATCTGGAACTAAAGTAGTGCGATACATGGAAAGAAAGAAACATTATTTAGATGATGAAACTTTACAAAATACTGTAGACATGGAATATAAACAAACTCTAACAGGATCAGATGGTATTTATTTAATACATTTATCTTAAATAATTTTCAAGAAAAATATTAAATTTTTGTTGTATAGTTCAGATAAAAATATATAGTTTTAATTTGATATTGAACATGGAGTACATGACATATCTTTTAAACTTCTTTGTGATACCTCCACAAGGCGAGGATAAAACTATAAACAATTTAGTAAAAACCACCAAATCAAATATTTTGGTTAGTTTGTATTTATATTACTTATAAAAAATTATTTAAAATGTTTCATACAATTTTTTTTATAGAACGAAAAACCTGTTGTCACAGAATTAAAAGAAAATAATAAAACTATCATGCTAAATGTGCAATTTGAAAAACCTGACATAATATTGGTCGAAAGTTTAAATGATATCAATACAAACGCGATAATTTTGAATGTAATTACCTAGGATCTGGATATGAAATTAAAAATTAATACTAATGGTATTTTCTAGGGCTTTAAACCTGAATTTTGTATTTGAGTTAGAGTTGTTTAGGTTATATGTTAACGTATAACATTTTATATTATTTTAGGTATTTAAGTTTTGGTTAACTAAAATAATTAGTTGGGTTAATATTGGATATGGTTTTATTATGAAAAATATAGCAGAATCCATTTTTACAGCTTATATGGGTTTAAAGCCCTGATTAACAAATTAAGTTTTGGAAAAAAAATTATATTTTCCTGGAACTTTTTATAGACTCCTATAGTTGAAGCAGTTAATTTTCTCCATCACTAGTAATTAGGGTTAAATTTTTTGTAGACCGAAGCTACGTTAAAGTTACTAATGTCTACACCGACTCATCAAACAGTGAATGGAACAATTAAAGATTTACAAATATATTCTTGTTGTTATAATCCTACGAAAAGAAAAGAAACAATGAATTTAGTAAATATTTATAAAGCTATACAATCAAATCTAAGACTAAATAGTTATAATTAGACATTTTTTTTTTAATTAGATTTTGCGCCCAGTAACCATAAATATAATTGGATCTACACCTGACGATACGTGTTTTAACATTGATGTCAGTATGACTCCTTTGATAATTTCAGTAACACCAGGTACAGTTTTGAAATGAATTAAACAAAATTAATTTTTTTAAATGTTATTGTAGTTTTTTAATACATGATTATAGCTAATATTGAAATGCTGAACCGAATCAATCAATCGTTTACTGAAAAAAAAGAAAATGAATTAGTAGAGCCTAAATATGATGAGCAAGAGTTTGTAAATTTATGGAATAAGACTCCATTCAATGAAAACGAATTTTGGTTTTTAAAAACAGGTTAATTCCTTAATTATCATTTTTATTTATTGGATAATAAGAATTATAATAATTTAAATATATTATAAGTACATTATATTCTCTAACATGTACAAAATGTTTTATAGAAGTTGGTGTAGAAGCATGCTCCTTAGAAAGAGACAGAAATTCTTCTTTAATAAAGAAAAGCGAAGTTTGTTTTGTGTCTATTCCATCAATCGTATTTACTATTGAAGCTGGAATCGGAACTAAAACTATGCCCATGTTACTTACAGAATGCACATTCAATGGCTCTATTAATAACTGGAGTTCTCAGGTAAGATTGACTTCTTTTATCAAACACTAATTAAATCACCAAAAAAAAAAAAGACACACCATCCAAGCTCTAAATATTACTACATAAAAAGTATTAACGAGGAAATCATTTTTTTAAGCTTACTGTTGCTGCTGAATTAGAATTGCAAATGAACTACTATAACAGTAGATTAGCACTTTGGGAACCATTCATCGAACCTGTAGAAGTATCCTCTAATGTTGGAGCAAAGTACAAACCGTGGTTACTCATGCTAAAGGTATAATTATTATAATATATTAGTAGTTGATGCGACAAGTAAAAAGGGGTAACTTGTCGGTATTTCCCAAAATTAAGTTAGTGCTATGTTCTGTATCTTCATTTATTTTTGAACAATTTAAGATCTGGTACATCATTGTAGCAAAAAAAAAAAAACTGTTTTTGCACTTAAAAGTTGGCGCATATGTATACTTAGCGTATCTTATGGAGTTTTTCTCAAAATTATCTTTGCTGTCAAGAGATACTAATATTGATTACCTACTTAATGTTTTAAAAATGTTTTTATTTAAAAAATATTGTGACAATCATTAATTTAATGTTAACATCAAAAATAATTTATGAAAGTTTGTAATATTATATCATTTTTGAATAAAATACTAAAAAATAATTTACAATGGTAAATATTAACTATTTATATAGTTGGAGACATCTGATGCCAATCAAGTTCCCAAAGACGAAGAAGAAGTGTTTCAAAGAAAACCAGCTATGAAAGTATCTTTGATATCATATGTAAGAACTATAGTGCTTAAATATAGGGTTCAATAATTTAATTATAAAAATTTAATTTAGGAAAATTTTGAAATAACAATGACAAAAACGGCCTTAGAAGTATTAACAAGCTTAGGAAATGATTTATATAAAGCCATAACAACAGAACAACCACTTACAAAGCGAAATGAAGCTGCTCCATATATTATTCAAAATAATCTGGGATTTGATATTTGTGTTATGATATCCAATACTTTATTTAAAGTAAAGTTGTAGAAAATATATCATATTAAATATACTAACTTAAACTTCATTACCTAAATACCTCCTGGAAAAACTAAACAACTCAATAAGCTCGAGTGCATGCTTAGTAGTTAGTTTTTTTTATAATTAATAATAAATGCTTTAATTGATATTATAGTTGTACAATACTTATGATGGTGAAGCTACCAAAGATACAATCTTAAAAGACAGCGAGGACCTTTATCTTTGTCTTAAAGAAGATGAATCTGTATCAGTTAATTTACATCAGACCAAAGCGACTGAAAGATCTTTAAAAATTAAGGTTGATGATTTAATTAATAAATGAGTATCTGATAAAATATTTATTGTAAAACAACTAATTATTGATATTTATTTTATATCCATGTATGAATTATTTTCTTCACAGATCCATGAAAATAATAATACAACAGAGTTTAATTTACCTTTAATAAAAGCAGATAAACGATATTTCAATATGAAGCACAAATTAAGTACACTACAAGAACCTTGGGGCTTGGTGACTGATACTCAAGTGATAAATGGCAGTATGGTCATAACACTAAGAAGCGTTGTTCAGGTAATTTATTTTTATTTCTAAACTACAATAATAATTATATCTTCAATATATTACACAATATTATTTATTTAGATATTCAATCACTTCAATGAACATATTTTCCTTTATTATAAAAAACAAGGAAAATTAAAGTTAATAGGGAAAGCAAAACCTGGAAGGGCGTTTAATCTACCAGTACACGCCATTTATACACAAACCAAAGAGTTATACTTTTGTTCAGAAAAGTAAGAAAAGAAAAACGATGGTTACTTCTATGTTTAAAATTTAATTTATTTGCTTAGTTATCAAATATGTGTTAAGCCATTTATTTGGAAAGATATTCAACCAGTCATGAGCTTACGGACATTATTACAATGTCCACCAAATCAAGTCGAGGATAAAGATCCATTTTTTATACAGGTAAAATAGAACTATGCATATTCCGTTTAATTAAATATCACAATAACTTCAAAATTATGATTTGTTCATGTAATTTTGTTCACTTATTTGGGCTCTCTTTTAGGTTCTAGGAAGTATAGAGCATATTTACTTTGAACACACCGACCGCTATTTGATGTCCAGTAACTGTTATAACATCCAATTATACCCAACTGTTATATTGGTAAACACTCTTCCAGTGAATTTGGATTGTTTAATGCAAGGTGATTTTGAAATAAAAACATTAGCGCCCGGAGAGAAAATAAATTTACCAATTGTTGAAATTGGATATTCCTTTTTAACATTAAAGGTAATTATATTTAATATTATTAGTTTTGTTTAAGTTTAGTTAATGGTTGTAACTTCACTTTGCCAGGAACCTACTCATAATAAATGTCCTAGCTATCCATTCCTTTAGGATCCACTAATTTAGATCTTTGAACAGAATCTTTTCTTTGCCGTCAGACTTATTATAATAAATTCCATATGAAGTCAGCCAGCTCAATTAATTTTCTTGTGGAAGTCTTTATTATCCCTCTTCTCTGCGTCTGTCAATTATTTCTTTAATAATACTTTGTCCCCACCGTGCTGACAGTTTTGTTTGTTTTAGTTTTAATGTTAGTTTTGTTAAATGAAATATCTTACAGGTGAAGTATTTAAATAAATACTGGGATTGCAAATGTTTTATTGAAGAGCATCCAGATGAATTTTCCATTTGGTCGTTTACCAACAATGAAGATAAACCTGAGTCTAACACAAACATTATAAACTTTGGTATTAGAACTGAATTTCAGGAAGGCGGGACACATATCAAAACTCTTTATTGTCCATTTTGGATGATCAACAAGACTGAACAAAGTCTTACCTATAAAGTAGGTTGTCTTGTTTCTATACCTTATTAATGCGAAGCATCTAATGGCGCGTATACAGGTGTGAAGTCAGATTTCATGACATTCAGCCTGCCTCGTGACTTTTTAGGCGGTGCTGGTGACGGCGACTGCGTCTAGTCCCAAGTTTAACATCACTCGCGTGTTCCATGACACACAAAGTTTCTTTTAAGTCGCTAAAATAGTAAATTTTGGTTTATTTTTATTTTTTAGGCTGCTGATGACGAAGTCAATATGTTACGGCACACCACCGATCCTTCAGAACCGTTGATGTGGTCATTTAATAAAAAAATATTTTTTGCCAACAAAAGAGGATATGTTAAAATAGACTCTGGTTTATGGTCCGATAGATTTTCGTTAGACGTGGCTGGTAGCTCTGGGTCAATTATGTGTAAAACAAATGACACTTTGTATCAAGTAAGAAAGCTTAAGTAAAGCTTAAAAACATTTAATAACGGTAGCATGTTTATTGATGTACGTCTGTTTTAAATAGATTGGTGTTCATATTCAATTAACAAACAATTCATTATCAAAACAAGTTATATTTACTCCATTCTATATTGTTTATAATCGATGTCTATTTTCTGTTGACATTCAAGAAGCTGATAAAGTTGCCAAGACTTGGATAAGAGTAATTTTTAGCTTTTATTTAAAAATAAATGATAAAACAAATACATGTTTACAAAACTTTATTTTTGTAATCAGTGATAATAAATATATAATATGAAATATAATTAACAGATTGGTCCGAACAGTTGTATGCCATTTTGGCCTCAGAATATTACTGATAATCATAAATTAAATGATAAAGTATTTGTTGTTCGGGTAACTGGAACTTTGGACACTTCTACACCTTTGCCATATTCCAAACCAAGAAGTGATCTAATACGCCTTCGAAATAAAGTTATTTTTTAAAAACATTTGTTTTTAATACGAAAAGCCAATTTTAATATGTTTATATGCATTATGTTTACTTAATTTTACAGCATAGTGCAATACAAGTGGACACTCAAATTACAGAAAGCGGTGCATATATAACATTTAATCCATATATGGAAGGAATGGCACCAGCTTTGATTATAAATCATACTGAAAATTACCTTAAGTTTATTGAACATGATTTGTCAGAATTTCTTGATGAAATGTAAGTAAAATTTTATGAAATTGGTATCTATGTTTCATGTTTTTTATTTCACCTAGTAAAATTTTACCTCCTAAACATAACATGTTTTTCACTTGGTCGACTCCAACGGAACACCCAATTCTCTATTGGAATATGATGCAGCAGCAAGCGGATCTAAGAAAAGTAATGATTATTTTTTTAGGATACCCATTTGAATGTTTGAAAGTTATTATTGTATTATGGTTAAGCACCCACATCATTTTGTAGTGAAACTTGACTTTTGTTGTTTTATTAGTAAATTAAAAAAAATAAGTTACATTTCTCAAAACAACTAAAAAATTATGAATGTTGAGTTGTAGTGGTATTATAGAAAACAAATGTTTTATTTTAAATGTGTTAAACAATTGTACTACCGCCTTTATTATAGTCTCAATTTGTGTTTATAGCTGTAATTACACATTTTTTTTTATCTAGGATGCCGTTGGAGTATTTAATCATGATGACGGCATTAAAATGTATTGGGTTTCTTTTTTGGATGGCTTACAGCGTATTCTCTTGTTTACCATCAATGCTGGTATTGCTGAAGAATGCCAAGCATCAAGAAAACTTGAATTTATTAACAGAGAAGTATTAGTTTCAATTCATTCGTTAGGTTTGTCGTTGGTTAATAACGACATTAGTACTGAAATAATGTATTTGCGAATTGGAAGGTATAATCAGTTTTTTTATCTAAGATATTTTATTCATTTTACAATATTCTTGAAACTGAACGCTATTTATTATTTTAGCTCTGGTGTCATTTGGGAGGTAAAAAAATTAAATGCATCTCGATATAAGCCGATGACTCAAAAAGAATGCGACTTAATTGAACATGCTTATATACGTTACACAAGAAAATTGGCAATTGGTGAAAACGAACCTATTGTTACCATTAAAGAATTAAATATTGAAGTACGGTTTTAAAATAATTAATTGTTTTAGCTTTGATGTGGAGCTGAGAAGGTATTGTTTTTACAATGATGTGTTTTCATTTTTAATTTTTCCAATTTTTTTTTTGTGTGTTCATTTTTCTAAAGTGCTGCATTTATTTTTTATGTAGCAAATATATAGATCAGAAATTATACCAAACAATTTCTCTTATAGGTTCGAAATTCAAAAAGTTCACTCCATCCTCTCAAATTAAGAATTCTTAAAAATACAATGCAATATTACTATTTTGAAAATAGTTTTGAGATTCTAGGACTAAAAACTGGACTGAAAATCAAAAGTGGGGCTATAACATATACAATGTTCTTAAACATTTGTAGTTATTATTTTTTTATGAAGGAAAAACCCAAAAAACCAGGAAAATTAAACTGACTATATTAAATTTTCATATAGCCTCAGTTGACTGAATTGACAATTAATAAGTATTTAAAAAAGGTACAAATTATCACAGGCAATCCACCACTTTAATACTTAAAACTGAATTATAAACACATTATAGCCTTTACAATACTTTTTATAGGTACTAAATAATTCTTCTATCTACAGAATTCCTTCTCACTGCGCTGGCTTTGTTTGTTAATTTTATTATTGATAATAATTCTACTGCTCTAGGTAAATTTTGAGGAAAACATTATAATCAAACCTTCAACAAGAAACATTAGAAGAATTTACAATACTGGATTTTGGCTTAATCTGCAGTCTTCAGACTATACATCCCAAATTCATGCAAAAATCAACAATCTGCAAATTGATAGCCAAATAGATAATTGTATTTTCCCTGTCATATTTGCTCCTGTACCCCCACCCAAAACAATAGCATTAACAGGTAAATTTTATCATAATTTTTAGTTACTCTAAGTTGTTAATCGCTGTTTTGTTTAAGAACGGAAACCATTCATGGAGCTTAGTATTGTAGAACGATTAAACAAAAATAGTTCGGTTAAACAATACAAATACTATAAAATGCTTATTCAAGAGTTTCATATTAAACTCGATATTGGCTTTATAAATGCATTGATTAAAATGACTGAGAAATATGAAATTTCAGAAGACAAAAGAGTTGGTTGCTAACTATTATTATTTATTTCTAGAACTTGCTATTGATTAATATAATTTTTTTACATAAACCTTATTTTTTGTAAGGGGTTTTAAACAAATATATCATTAAATTTTATAATAATTTGACATTACAAAATGTGCTGTAGTATATTCATGATGTGCCTAAACAAACTTTAAGTGAACAAAAAAAAGCACTTTAGTTTTTGTGTAACATAATCGGCAAAGCCGATTTTTCGAGATGTGTATTCTAAGGGTAAAATATTGTTATTTTATTATTTAGCAGTCATTTTATTTATTTAAATAAAAATATATTATTATTTTTATTTTTTTGTTTAAAAAGATTGTTTTTTTTTTAGTTCTGAAAAGTGAATGTACTATGAAATACTTACTGGAAAAACCTAGAAGTTCTTGTTTTTTTTTCAGCAATAACTAGTGCAACAAAAATATTTTTCTTTCTTAAGAGCTCTTTTCTTGAAAATAGTTTTCCTAATTTTGCAGAAAATATATTTCTACATAATTTTCGTCGTTCTAAAACAAAAACTCCATTGATTTTATAGTGCATTTAAAGTTGGTTCAGGCACACTAGTCACTACGAGATATATAATATTCTGTTCTATAATACGTATATATAACTATATATTATTAATATTAAGTATAAATGGGGTGATTATAAAATCGTTGGTGTATTAATAATATTTATGTATGCTATTCAATTTTTAGAAAATAGTATTTAATGAAGATTTATTTTATGCAAGTAAGCCACTGGAGGCCCAAATTATTAAAGCATCTTTACAAGAACAAAAGAATTATTACGACATGCTTCATTTCTCTCCACTTAAAGTACATACTCCATAATCGGGTCTTAAACATATAATGCTCTAAATATTATGTTTTTTTAGATACATGTTACATTTTCACTAAGCGGAAACGAGTTAGAAAATATTCCACCCATTATTAACATAGTCTTACAAAGCATTGGTGTGACGATTACTAGTGTTCAAGATGTTGTATTAAAGTAAGTAAACTATTTTGATTGTTAATGGTGTTTTTATTTCTCTAAAATTTTAGGTTGGCATTTTTCGAACGCCAATATGTGTTGCTTAATCAGCGTCAACTAATAATAGAAGCTCAACATCATTATGTCGGTCAACTTATTAAGCAGTTGTATGTTCTTGTCCTGGGCTTGGATGTGCTGGGAAATCCGTTTGGTCTTGTAACTGGAATCAAACAAGGTGTTGAAGATCTATTTTATGAACCATTTCAAGTAAATAACTTATTATTTTCTAATACTCTTAAATTCTTCATAATTTATTAGTACCTATTATTTTTTATTTTTTTCATACTTAGGGTGCAATTCAAGGCCCTGGAGAATTTGCTGAAGGATTAGTTTTGGGTGTTAAAAGTTTGTTTGGTCATACGGTTGGAGGTGCTGCTGGAGCAGTTGGTAGAATAACTGGAACAATGGGTACGATGAATACATATTGAATACTGTCAATTGCTACAGAACAATGTTTCAAAAAAAAAAAATAATGTACTCTTTTCCAAAGGCAAAGGAGTTGCTGCACTAACTTTTGATAAAAATTATCAAAAAAAACGCCAGGAACTAATGAATGAAGAACCTAAAAATTTTTCAGCTGGATTGGCACAAGGAGGTCGAGGATTTGTGTTGGTAATACACACTTTGAAAATAAAACTGCGACGATTTTATAATATTTTAATGCTAAATGATCTTTTATTTTAATTTTTAATAGGGCGTAGTAGAAGGCGTTGAAGGTGTTTTTAAAAAACCTTTTAGTGGAGCTCATAATGATGGGGTTAAAGGATTTTTCAAAGGAGCATGCCAGGGTATGGTCGGTCTTGTTGCCAACCCCTTGTCTGGGGCATTAGATTTTACAAGTGGCACTCTGAACACAATAAAAAGGTTTGTATAATGTACTGACAAAATATGTTTATGAAAATTTAGCATTTTATTAAGGACAATATTACTTAATGTTTATCTAGAGTGACTGATACCACATCGGAAGTACAACGTGTGCGTTTACCAAGACACTTTAAAGAAGATAAACAAGTGAGACCATATTGTAAACTGGAAGCTGAAGGATACAAACTATTAAAGGTGAAGAAAACAAAAGTTTAAAATTACATTTAATATATTGTTTTAACCGTGTAATGTTGTATAGGAAAGTTGGTATTAGACTTTAATTTATATTTATTATTTAGGAAAAATAAGCAAACTGTGACAGGAAACAGAAAGTATTATCAAAAATTAAATTTAAAAATAAAAATTTTAAAAAGATAAGTATTTCTTGCATGAGTCCTAAATTCTGAATTCTGATTACTTTTGCATACTTTTTCGTTTTTTCTAAATCAAATTTATTGTGAGTTCAATTTAATACTGGAAATGCACTTGTTTTTTTTTTTTTTTGCTTTTCATTTATTGTCTAGTATTAAAATGCCTAATGAAATTTAGCATAGTTTCAAAAACTTGTTGGATTTGTATTAATAAAGTATTAATTATTTTACACTAAACAGATGTAACTTTTTTGTAATATTCCTGGTAATATTGTACATTTTCTACCTTTGTATAATATATTATTATTATTATATGGAAATGGAATGTTGGGTTAAGTTTCACTATGTATTTGGATAACATTGAAAGTAAGACTTGAATAATTATTACTGTCTATAAAACGTGTGGCATACAAATGATAATTTTAAATTAGATGCATACATACATATATATATATATATGAATTTAAATTTATATTTATACTGTCCTGGCATGATTACATTCTTGCAGACTGCTGAAAAAGGACTTTATAAGTTAACAGACAGCTACATTTATCATATTAGAATGGGAATTTCTGATAAAGAAATCTTTGTGGTAACCAATCAAAGAGTTATGTACATCATTCGAAGTTTCTGGACTGGCAATTATAAAGTATAGTTTTGTAAAATTTAGTGAAAAACTGTTTAATACATATTAATTATGAAATTATTCAATTAGATTCTTTGGCAGTATGTATGGCCAGCAATGACACGTACCCCAAAATTAAAACCAAATGGAATTGTCATTCACACGAACGATAGTAATACTAATAGGTGTTCATGGTTTTGTTGGAAAGAAAGGCAGGGCAATACCAAATTAGTACTCATTTCAAATGCTGATATATGTACTGTACGTATTATAAAGCATATTAAAAAAAAAATAAGTTGTATGTATGAAGGTTTTAATTTTTGTTAATCTTTTAGTGGTTAACCAAAAAAATGTGTGAACTTATGGAGACAAATAATCCAGTTATGAAGTCTATTCAATCTTCCCAAACTGCTTTGAAAAATTCTAATGAATTTTAATAAAATTGTGAAAGAATTAAAATATTTAAGAAAAATTAAGAAATAATAAAATAATTTTAAGAAGTTAAAAAAAATATTTATATTAACCTTCCAGTGGGCGTTTTATTTGCTATAATAGGTGTCGTGCATAATATAATTTTCAACAGTACTAAAAGCAGTAATAATCATACATACGATAAATTTGTATGAAATATTATTGCATTTACAGTATCTTTAACCTTAATTAATAGACTGTACAACAGTGATTTTACCAAAAACGCGACAAGAAAAATTTCATATTCTAAAATCACATGTATGAATAATTAATTGTTAATTAAATAAAATAAATTTATTCGTACAAAATGTATACGAATAATTATTAAAGGGTATATTTAAAAGTAAAAGAAAAATTATAAATTTTATTATACACAGTGTTTTTTTAAATATTGAATAGATAGCGACCAAGTCGTCCATGGCGAATTCATGAGCTTTAATAAAGTGCTTTTGGAAGTGAAGTCTGATCCGCGAGCACTAAATCAACACCCATATACGCTCCAATTTTGAATATCGTATTTTTCGGATAGATATGGTATACACAGATTGTAATGAGGCTCTTTTCCTCGTGTACCTCCTGGTCCCTTCATGCATTTTTCGTTTCTCATTGTATGGTCCGGTCTTAGGATGCTCCGTGGTTTTTCCTACAATCTAGCGCAATGATGTCGATCCTCTTATTCTGGGTGTTTCTAACGTAGCATCGTGAACCTCACAATTTACCTCCACAAATACTTTTGAGCGAAACAGGTCGGCTATAGAGGTGAGTACATTGTAGTGGCCCGAATTTCGCAACAGCTCAGACTTCGGGCATGCGTCCCGGGTGTGAGCAAGCGTTTCAAAAATGTTGATCTCATTGCAAACGGGAAACCGGCAATGGCGGCTGCCAACATCCCGTCCGCTGGTCGGCCGTCGCCCTATTGGTCATAGAGTCCATTGAGGCTTTTATCTTCAGCTAGCAGTCACTATCCTTTTTTGATATTTATAAAAAAGAACGTGCAAATACGAAAATATAGTTCGTAATCTACTATATCATTATAAATTATTTAAAATAAGAAATTAATCTAAAAAAGACTTTAAAGCAACCACCCGATTTTCCAACCGACTGAGGCGACTCGAAAATATAAATAGAACATTGACCAACGCCATGACGAACGATTGCCGTTGGATTATTTCATACCTAAAGACGGACTATAAAATTATAAGAAATTCTTTTTGTGGGTAGTTTTGTCGTCTAGCCTCTTAAAAAGGACAATTGCATGGTTTTTTTTCATTAAAACACAAATATATCGTATGTATGTGAGAAAAATTATAAAAAATAAGAAAATTATTTTGAAATAGAATTTTTTCTAATAAATTTGTTAACATAATTTGTTTGCTTTTTTAAAAAATTATTATATATAAAGAAATTAAATTGCGAAAATATAATTAATTCAAAATTCTTCCGCGAAAAAATGTTGCACCTAATATACATAGGACATGTTGGACATACTTGGTATGTAAATATTGATTTTTGATTCATATTAGGTATAATATAGTTACGGGGTACCTACTACCTACCTACATAACTTGAACATTTCTAATAATAGTTTTAGTTGAATTTGACGTTTAATCTAATAAGCCCCTCACTAAAAAAATTAGCTATTCCTACTCTATTTGAGTAGCGTTGTTAATAATTCTATCGATAATATAAATTCATGCAAAAAAAAGTTAGTTTTTTTCATTGATAATAAATAAAAATGTAAAAACTTTATAGACATCAGATACGTCTCTTTAACAAACGAGTTAGTGGTTAAAAGTTAAAAAATTATGAAATCTTTATTACTAATAAAAATTCGAAATCACTGTTGAATGACGATTAGCCGATACGAGAATGTTACGTTTTTGTTATACGAAAGCGTACTTCAGTAGCTAAATACCAAATTTATTATACACTTCATGACCGCACCCCCGTCACCTACCAACCCATTCGTTTCCAGTCCTTAGTATCTTAGTTCGTGATTTAAACCCTTAACCACAAAAATAAAAATAGTACACTCTGCATATAAGTAGTTCACTGTTCAGCCGTTCTGTCTGAGTGGATTATTTTTTAATTTTAGGGTTTAAGGGCGGGTTGCATAAAAATCTGTAAATGTGTTAATGTCCTAGTAAGTTACATGGATAGGATGTAACTAATTCATTGTGTAAAGTTTTAATAATTGAGTAAACTAATAGTGTTGCATAAAGAAATGTTGTATTATCATAACAAAATTACGGTTATTATTGATAACCATGGCTACCAAATGAAAAAGACAGGCTGGAGGCGATGGAGATGTGGATGTGGAGGAAAATGACAGGAACAAGCTTTATAGAACATAAGACGAATGAAGCAGTGCTGAACGAGGTCAATGAAGAAAGAACAGTGATGAAAACAATAATGAAAAGAAAAATAAAGCTAATTGGTCATCTCCTAAGACACAATGAGTTCATCACCATCATTATGGAAGGAAAAATAGCGGGTAAAAGAACTAGAGGAAGACCGCGTAAGTCCTTTTTTGAAGAAATCTTCCGTTGGATGGGTTGTACCTCTTACCAAAGTCTCAAGAGGAGGGCATGTGACAGACATGATTGGCTACAACAACAAGGCTTGGCCTTTAGAAGCTGATGATGTTGGCTACCAAATAAATTAAACCACACTTCATTTAATAAATCTAATAATATTATATTATAGTTCTTATTATAATAAGAAATAAAGTTAATAAAATTAAAAATTCTATAAAATTATTGTAATTACTGCATTAAAATTGATAACATCGACCTTAATTCACATTAATAATCGATCTGTAAGTTACGTCCTAACTCCTAACCAAAAACGGACCTGTTTTTTACAAGTCCAACAACCGATAATTTACAGAGCCGTTAACACTATCCGGCGTTTAAGTATAGTGTTATAGTAATATAATACGTGGTCATCTGTAATGTTTGTGTTTCCGTTAGTTTGTCATATATAAAGCTCACTTTTCACTTTCCACACAGCTGATAATGTTACCATACATGATACACATTTATAAAAATCACCCAAAAAATCTTCATTATTTAGTTTATTGAGATACATTTTGTTTTTTAAAACACTAGATACCGTTACTTCCCAATTTTAACAGACAGAATTGAACATACAAGATTCTACGGCATACTCCGGTAACCTGAATATCAAGTCATCTTAATCTTAGCATATAATGGCATAGAAAAAAATATGGTCCAATCCGCATCGAAACGTTTTCTGATCCTACTAAATACTTTTATTATAATATTAAGCTGTCATCTAAATCTTACAGGATTGTAAACGAATTTATTTTTGTGGTTTGTAATCTCTTTTGTGACTTATAGTTCTTAATATTTGTATTAAATATTTATTATAATAGACTATCATTATGATAATAGAACAAAATCACACATTGTTTGCAACAGTATTTTATTTTTAGACGTCGACCGGCTCTGCCATTATTATTACTATTTTCTATGACAACAATTCTAATAACTTCTATGCCAACAAATATCAAGTCTATAAGTCTCTGGGTTCCTGCATGTATTTATATGTCAATACTCAATATGTGTAAGAGAATATCAGTTATCTATTGTCATACATAAGTATCTAGCGCTATACTTTTTTGTGAAATTTTACACGGGGGATTAAAATGAAATAATATTTATTAAAAATATCTGTTTAATGCACTAACACAATTTTTGCAACACAATTATTTTGGTGTGCATAATATTATGTTATCAAATTAAAAAATTTGGTTTTTAATTGTACATAAAATTAATATTTTTATCTTGTTCATAAACGAATAACAGTATGACGAACGTGTGACCCGTGCCATTTAAAATAGATACTGAATACTGAATACCGAGTTATTACGGAATCGGTGTCGAAGATAATATCTCTTGCGCCACATAAATATAAACAAATATATACATACTATATTACATACATACTACTATACACATACATACATACTATAATATATATTGTATATTATTAATAATGAGAATTACTGATAACGCTATAATCTGAAGTTTACACATTTTTATTATCAATTTATGATTTTAAATTATCTATTATTTTATTCCACTGTGCTTATTACGGCGTTTTTTATACCAATACTTTCATAACCCGTGTGATTTTGCATTAACCTGCTGTGTTATTTTTTAAGAATATTATCATAAATTATAATCTTATATACTAATGATCCAGACAAACAATACGTGTTTGGAGTTTTTATTAATGAATCAACAATGTTCAGTCACACGTTTGGAATTTGAGTTTCATTATATTTGAGAACATTATTCAAACAATTCTGTATCATGGTTTTCGAATCTTTAGTAGCCGATGTGCTCAACAGGTTCATTGGAGAATATGTTGAAAATTTGGATAGCTCTCAGTTAAATATTGGAATATGGGGCGGTAAGTGTAATATGCTTAATAATTAGGTATGTATTTAAACATAAAAATACAATAAAATGTATTACAGTCTAGTAGTCAAATAATTTTGCAAGTCGGGTCAGTAATATAGGTATTTTTATTATTTATTTATTCTTATGAATACAATAGAAAATATAAATAAAAACATACAAAGTTTAATGATAAAGCATGACAAAATATGAGATTAGTAAAATTTAAGATTAGTAAAAGATAGCTTTAAAATATTTCTTTTGAATATGTTACAACTTTTATGTAAATAAACTCGCATATCGAAAATGTATTTGTAGACAAAACCAACAGTACGGGAAAACTAAGTCCCAAAAATACCATATTATATTAGGTATATTAAATGGCCGATTTTGTATAGCAGGCACAAAAAAAGATGTTCCTTCATATTCCCTATTTCTCTTCTATATCTTATGATGAACATGTATTACATATTATTATTTATTTAAAAAACAAAAAAAGTGTGTCATTATACAATTATAATATTCTTAAACTAAAAATGAGAGAACAGGAATTCTATTGTTAATAAAATAATGTTCTTAATTTTAAATAAAAAAAAAAACAATAATTATATTATGCAATAAGAAATATTTAATAAGATAAAGTTATTTTTGACATTTTTTTTTAATTGTTAAATTTACAAGTAGAAATTTGCACATTTATCAATTTATAGCTTCTACTAATAACAAAATCTTATTTTGATTGAGGTGTTTATTTTGAAATTTAATTTCAGGAGATGTAGTTTTAAGAGATTTAAAACTGAAGGAAACTTG